ACGCCAAGAGAGAGGATAGTAAATCTCGCTATGGACGAAGTCTATTGCGCCCCAACGCTGGAGCTCGCCGGCGGAAGACTGCATGGGGAATCAAGTGATGGCTCTGGAAAAGCGACCACAACGCTTTTCTGTACCCACATTTCATCTGTCGCTGGCAGATACGAGGATCTGGTCACGATGTCACCAGTGGCGCACGTCACAACGCAGGAAATGGTGAAGATGTTCTTCAACGTAGTGAAAGGCCTCACGGAGCTCGGATTTCGTGTGGTCTCTGTCACCACCGACGGACATCGCACAAATCAAAGCTTCCACCGAGCGCTCGGAGATGGCACCCACCCCGAGTACATCGTGAACCCGTGGAGCAGTGATGGGCTGGGAAGAATCTACACGATGTTCGATACAGTCCATCTGTTCAAGAACATCTTCTTTAACTTGTTGAACAAGAAGACTCTTCTCTGCCCGCCGTTCGAAAAGACCGGAGCTGCCCTAACGGTGAAATCTTGTCACCTTGAGAAGCTTCACAGAATGGAGTTCGGCTCTCCAGTGAAGATGGCCTATCGTCTCTCCGATAAAGTCCTCAACCCGACGAGCATAGAGCGCGTGAACGTGAAGCTGGCAGACTCCGCGACCCACGAGACCACCATAGCAGGGCTCATGGTGTACAGTAAGGAGCCTGGGTGCGACGGATTCGCAGACACTGCCGAGTTCCTGAAGATAGTAAGGACTTGGTTCAACATTGTGAACGTGAAGTCGCCATACAAGCACGTGGCCAAAAGGGACGATTTACTCAAGCCCATCTGCCTGGAGAATGAAGACGGTCTGAAGTACCTGGAGAAGTTTGGCGCTCTGATGGAGGACTGGGATCGACAACCGGGAACAGCAAAAATCTCCTCTGACACTCTTCGGGGTCTCGTCCTGACATGCAGAGGCCTGGTGGGCCTGTCAAAGTACCTGCTGCAGGAGTGTGATTTAGAGTACGTCTTGCTAGGTAAGATACAGTCGGACCGCATAGAGGGTCACTTCGGCCACCTCAGAAAACTTGCCGGTGGCAACTTCTGGGCCAGCCCGCGCCAGTTTACAGAAGGCGAGGCTATCATCCGTGCCAAGAGCCTGCTGTGGCTGTCTGGGTACACTCCGGATGAAGTAGCGGTAGATATGCGGCTCGTTACTCAGCAGCGAGAGGAGAACGACCACCGTGTGGCAACAGAGCTAACACAGATCGCTGCGGAGTCTCTCCCCGCTGAGGAAGGACCAGAAGAAGGCAAGGACGCGGTGTTTCACATGGCCGGCTACTTGGCCCACGCTGTGCAGAAGAAGCACAAATGCAACCCTTGTCGTGACCTTCTCGCGGATGGCCATCGCAAAATTTCTGTGAAAATAGCAGTCAGCGGAGCTGAGGAGCAGGAGGCTGCCGCTACATTCACAGACCTGCTGAACCGGGGAAAGCTGCTCCAGCCATCTGCCACTTGTCTCAAAATCACTGAGGACATATGCTCCATCTTCAGGTCCCTGAGAGTTGAGGCTAAAACCCGCGCCATTTTGTTTGGGTGCACAAACCCCAGGAGAGTGTTTAAGGAGATCTCGCTGAACCTCTTGGAAGAAAAAGAAGGCTCCCAGCTGGAGTGCGCGGCTGGTCACAAACTCAGCAAACTCATCTTGCCCACCATGGCGGGGGCGCTGTTCAACGCTTGCGTCTCCAATCATGCCAAGGACCTGAACAGCCTAGCACACGCCGAAAAGAGGCCAAAGCAAGCACAGGGACGCGCTGGTCGAAGAAACTCGGATTCCGACAAGATCCGAAAGCTGACTGGATCGAAATGAGTGATCATTTGAACGCCTACGTTCTCCGGAACCTGATCTCAGGTTCTCAGGTGCATTCAGACTTCGGGTCAGAATTGGGTGGGAAACTACTGAGAGAAGTAAATAGGAAGGCATGCATGTGTATTTTTGCACAATACAAAATAAACTACTCGCAGCATTTTTTAATAGTTTTCGTTTGAAAGGTGGGGTGTTTAACTAAGCGTCAAGTTTCGAGGACAGCGCAACTTTATGCGGGAGTCGATCCCCGATCATTAAAGTGCAGGGGTCGCCCCCCTCGCCCTGACCTCTCCGTTGGCCATGTCCCTTAGAATAAGTTAGTTGCGTTTCTTTTAAAGCTATTGTGATTATGAATTATCTAAAGCGCAACAAAAAGCACCGAATCGAATGTAATGCTAGATTCATTGTTTACATAGGAGGCAAAATTTTGCCTCAAATGTCGATTAGGCCAAGCCAGTGCACAGTCCATGTTTAAAGGGGTCTATGCCGGATCACTTCATAATGTATTCACACTCGCCAAATTCTATCGACCTCATTTTCGAAACTATCATTTTTACGCACATTCGTTGACCTCGGCACGTGACCTATAACAAATTCTGGCATAGGCTCGTGCGCCCATTTTCGGGGAGCCACAGAGTCGGCGACAATATATATATATATATATATATATATATATATATATATATATATATATATATATATATATATATATATATATATATATATATAACATAATATAACATAATAACCCCATATAACTATTCCCTACGTCTCTACGATTAGCGATTTTAAAGAAGGCTAAGTGTGCATTTTAATGATTAAGCTTGCAATTTTTACAGGTGAAGCACTATATGCAGGCAGGTGAAGCACTTTAGGAAGGTGAAGCAGTATATGTCTCACAATCACCTCACAGTTTTCAAGTGTTAGTTGTATGAGAAAAACGCTTTTAAATGGCCTCCTTACAATGAAATGTCAAATGATGACATAATGAAATAATTATTAAATATTTAAGAACTATTATTTCGTATGTCTTATTATTCTTAATATCATTAAGAATAATTATTTCATTATGTTATCAATTGGTATTTCATTGTAAGGAGGTCATTTAAAAGCGTTTTTCTCATACTTATTTTTCTCATACTTAGTTTTCTTATTGCCTTACATACAACAAGCGCTAAAACAAGTTTTCAACTATGTAGATGAATTTGTTTCCTATACCTATTTTTATATCTTAACGTTTTATGTCTAACATTTAACACCTCAGCGTTAATTTCTTTTGAACGTTTTAAACACGAAAAAAAACGTTCTATTTCACTCAATTTCATCGCCAACGGAGACGAATACGCGTGGCATGTTGGCATGCAATTTAATGTTTACCGGACTGAATAATACGCAATGGATATTGTTACTTAACCCGCGCGGGGCTGGGGGGGGGGGTAAATTTTACCCCCCCCCCCCTGTTATCTCCCGAACTAATGGTCCGATTTGGAAAATTCAAACGCCAATCGAAAGATCTCATCACGAACAACTAAAAACATGTACTTAATTTTAAGTTTGAGGTCAAGGTCAAGGTCAGGTCAAGGGTACAAATTGCAAGTTCCTACAGTATCGGCCTTGCACCGTAGTTGCCGAAGAATGGAGTCATGGACTGAGACTGATCGCCCAAAACGTGTTCTTAGGCTACCAAGACAACATTCGTTGCATACAATATCATTCAGAGGTCAAGGTCAAGGTCAGGTCAGGTCAGGTCAGGTCACCAAAAACAAAATATAGAAAAGGGCATGTGCGACACATGTTTTATGGGTCATTTTACTCATAGAATTCAATAGGCACACTCAATAAGTGATATGGACCACCTCTGGATGAATTTCAGGTCGAGGTCAGGTCAAAGTCAGGTCAAGTGAGGTCAAATTTTGAAGTTGGTTGTTTAGGTCTAAAAAGGTGTCTATCTGATGCAGTTTTTCACGGCGAATCGAATGGTGCTATTTTTGTTTCCGTACGAGGTCTAAAACGTCCAAAAAAGTCATTGTCAAAAATTTTGTGTGTCGTGACGTCATACAATTTTGAATAACTCCCACATTTTTGAACTGATGCTTCTAAAACTTGGTATGTAGGTGCACATAGACCACTTCTCTGGCATATATTCCGTTTTTTTTTTTTTTTTTTGATACACTCAATATTTTGGATTTTATAGTTATTTTCCCAAAAAAGTCAGTTTTTTTAAAAAAAATGGGTCAAAATCCAAAATTTTCAAAAAACCGAGATAGCCATTTGATAGACAAAGTAGAATTACGTATATCCTTTTTTGTTACGTCTTGATTCCTTTAAAAATGAAGATGTTAGCGGCGTTTGAACTTTTGCCGTTTTTGAGGCGAAAATGGCGATCATGACGTCACTAAAACGTCAATTTCTCAAAAATTTTCCGACGGATTTCGCTCAAATTTTCAGAGAACGTGTCAAATTGATGTACAAAAAGGTACTGAAAGTTTGGCGGCGCTGCGCGCCGCCGTTTTTGAGATATTGCAAAAGTTCGCGAGGGGGGTTAAAATGTACCCCCCCCCAGCCCTGCGCGGGTTAATTAACAGATATTACATATTTTAAGGCCCATTTACGCATGCAGGCAGACTGACCTTGCTTCGTGAATCTGCAACTTCTAGCATTTTTAGCTTATTTGATTTGAAATAATTTTGTACTTTATTTCTTGTGATAACAAACGATATGGTTTATAAATCCGACAGACGTTTGCCGGGGCAGCGACGAAAGTTTTACGATAAACCAACCCACATTTCGGAAATATTTCGGTAAAGTCGACTCCGCTAACAGCTAAACAGTGCCGCCGGATTCTCGGACCATTATGTCGGAGATGTTTACACCCGACTGACAGATGGTAAGCGATGAGAGAAGATGATACATCCTGGACGCTGGCACCGCACGCCGCACGCGCGGATGTTATTAGTGGCTGCGCCCGGCGCCCTGATGATCCTGTAATCAGGCCCGCCGCGCGGATGCCGATGTCACTCAGTCATGTCTGCCGCCCTGGCGGCGCGCGGGCGCCGGCCAGACTCGTTCGCGGCTCGTCAGTGTCCGGGGGCTCCGCGATGACAGTCGCTGTCACAGATCCGCCGCAGACGACAGTCACATGACACATAGAGACACAGACAGCCGGCGGCGCCAGCACCTACCTTCCTCGTCGCGGTCCCCCATCAGCGCACGCCGCGGACGTCCTGACCTGGCTACAAACTACTATGAGCGGTTCACCACCGCCGACCGGCCACCGAGCAATGCGTCGTCGCGCCGCGGCCGGCCGTCTTCCGCGCACCGGTCTCCATGGTAACGATCGAGCGGCTGTCGGCGAGCGGCGCAGTGCCGGCGACATGACGGGTAGGCGGCGGCGGCGGCGCGTCCCTCCGTGCGCCGATATTGACGTCTCACGGCCGTCGCCCGCTGTCCGGCGGATAAGTGGCCGTCGCCGGCACGCCCCGTTCGAGCCGCTCTCATTGGTTTCACGGCCGCCCGAGCGGACGGAGCGTGGGAAGGAGGCGTCACGGGCTCGAGACTGTCTCAGCGGGAGAGTCCCGGATCGACTGGTATCAGCTACCGACTGAGGGGAAGCCCGGCGATTAGCGCATCGATGATGACGGGATGCTGGTACATACAGAAAGCGATGTACGACTCTTGATAAGACATGATAAGACGACCCGTGACAGACGGCAACTTTTCTTTGGCGTTGAGTGGTCGACAGCTTATCCACACGCGCATGACGCACATGCATACTACCTCAACACTTCAGTCAGTTCGGGTCAGTGAAATTAAGAATGGAGGCCAAAAAGGTAAAGAACAGGTTTTGGGAAGAAGTAATTCGCGGATGGTCGAGTTTCTGCACTGCATATAAACCTGACAACGATGAAATACTCGCGGACTTCATATGGTTTTCCGACAGCACAAAATACAAAAAGTCTATCGTTAAAGAATGGAACGAAAAAGGCCTTCGATTTATATCAGACCTGTTCAATCCTTTTGATGGCTCGCTATTGAGCAGAGAGCAGCTTGCAGCCACATATAAAATCAAAATGACATTTTTGTGCTATACCTCCATAATAAGAAGCCTGGCATTTGATACTTCCCCCAATGTAGCATGCATAGCTAAACACATATGGTATCCTATTCAACCTTTTAAAATCAAGCTTCTCTCACAAAACCTGCATCTTTCCAAAGTGGTATATAAAACCTTAGTAACAGGAATTAAAGTGAATCGCGATTCACACATATCTAAAATAAGTTGTAAGTGGATTCGAGATGTTGGTTCTATGCATAATGGAACTTTTTGCGATGTGCGATCGTCTACAAACAACACATATCTTCAAGCACTTCATTATCGAATTATTAACCGCATTGTTGCGACTAAAACTTTTCTCTGCCGAATCGGAAAAACAGAAACTGCTGCGTGCGACCTTTGTGGTAACGACGATACATTGTTTCACGCTCTGTATACATGCAACATAATTCAAAACTTTATACATAATTTAAAATCACATGTTCAAAGTCATTATAATATCAACTTAATAACAACACCTGAAAGCTGGATATTTCCTTGTCGTGACAAGGAAACAAACATTGAAATACTCATCAAATTGGTAGCAAAACACACAATAATGCGCTCCAAAAATAAGAACCGTCCCCCTAGTATCCCTTTGTTTACGTCCCTGCTCCGGGCAGAAGCCATGAAAGAAAAAGAGGCGGCTAAAAACTCTAGGCAATTTGAAAAATTCGAAAACAAATGGGGGAATGTTATAAATATTCTACAAAACATAGGCACCGATTGAAATGTGATGGCCGCCGCCGTCACCGCCGCCGTCGTCGCCATCCCGTTGCTGTCGGGGGACCTGGGCTGCCCGCCCTCGCCGCCTCCGGAGAATGGCTACCGCTGCCTGGCTGCTCGGCCTGCGCTGCCGTCGCCCGCGTTTCGGCTTCCCGCGTCGCCGCGGTGGCCGTGTTGGTGGCCGTTCCCTGGTGGAGCTGATTCGGCTGCTGTGCGCTGATGTGCGTTCTGACATTTGTAACCGGGACGGACGCCGGCACCGATACCCGAGTGGTGTCATACCTGTCAGCTGACGCGCCGCGCGTCCGTCTCGCGGTGGGTGGGTGGGGCCCCCACCGTGGGGGAGGGGGCTGTCGACGAGATGAGCTGAACTCCGCTCTTAATGCGATGTTGCAATGCGTCGTGCGTCAACTCCGTGCTCCGTGCCCGCGCCCCGTGAGAGCCGGGCTGTGGAGGCCGCCGGCGGGCGGGCCACGCTTTGAGCGCTGCCGACGACGGGCCATCTGTACGTAGATGTCTCCGCGGCCTCTGTATTCGGTTGGTGGTGGGTGACGACCGCTGGCATGCCGGAAGGGCTTGTGGTTCAGAATGGTGATAATGATCTAGTTGATATGCTATTTATGCAGTTTCAGTTTCATGTGCTCTTTACTGCATCTTTTGTGGACGGATCGCGGAAGAGTGGAAGTGTGATGGATGACTGGACTGTGGCAGTAATGCTGTTTATTTGACAATAAATGCACTAAAATGCAAAAAAAAAAAAAAAAAAAAAAAAAAAAACAGTCATGTCTGCCGCCCTGGCGGCGCGCGGGCGCCGGCCAGACTCGTTCGCGGCTCGTCAGTGTCCGGGGGCTCCGCGATGACAGTCGCTGTCACAGATCCGCCGCAGACGACAGTCACATGACACATAGAGACACAGACAGCCGGCGGCGCCAGCACCTACCTTCCTCGTCGCGGTCCCCCATCAGCGCACGCCGCGGACGTCCTGACCTGGCTACAAACTACTATGAGCGGTTCACCACCGCCGACCGGCCACCGAGCAATGCGTCGTCGCGCCGCGGCCGGCCGTCTTCCGCGCACCGGTCTCCATGGTAACGATCGAGCGGCTGTCGGCGAGCGGCGCAGTGCCGGCGACATGACGGGTAGGCGGCGGCGGCGGCGCGTCCCTCCGTGCGCCGATATTGACGTCTCACGGCCGTCGCCCGCTGTCCGGCGGATAAGTGGCCGTCGCCGGCACGCCCCGTTCGAGCCGCTCTCATTGGTTTCACGGCCGCCCGAGCGGACGGAGCGTGGGAAGGAGGCGTCACGGGCTCGAGACTGTCTCAGCGGGAGAGTCCCGGATCGACTGGTATCAGCTACCGACTGAGGGGAAGCCCGGCGATTAGCGCATCGATGATGACGGGATGCTGGTACATACAGAAAGCGATGTACGACTCTTGATAAGACATGATAAGACGACCCGTGACAGACGGCAACTTTTCTTTGGCGTTGAGTGGTCGACAGCTTATCCACACGCGCATGACGCACATGCATACTACCTCAACACTTACGCTATCTGTCTCTCTGTCTCTGTCTCTGTCTCTCTGTCTCTCTCTGTCTCTATCTCTGTCTGTCTGTCTGTCTCTATCTCTGTCTGTCTGTCTGTCTCTCTCTCTCTCTCTCTCTCTCCTCTCTCTCTCTCTCTCTCTCTCTCTCTCTCTCTCTCCCCCCGTCTGCCTCCTGCCTTCTGTCTGTCTGTCACCACTATCTGTCGATCTCCGCAGCACTATGTGTGGTTCATTTCCCGGCCAGTATTTGGTTTCCGAGTCTGTCGGCTGGCTTAGGTAACGTCCCCCTCCGTCGGCGCACATCTGTCAGCACGGTGCACAAAGTGCCAACGACAGGTGCCAGCGATCAGGTGTTCCAGGCTCCAGGTGTCCGAGAGCACGAGTCGAGAACAAATGTTTAGAGCGAGGACAGGTATGTGAGAGATCGGTGCAATAGATCATGGATGGGTGTTATATGCAGATCGAGGAATAAGGATGGATATAAGAGAACGAGGGCAGATGTGAGAAATATTGGATGTGAGTACCAAATAGACCGAGCACAGTGCTCGAGGGCGAGTGTAATAGTTTGAGGACAGGTGCAATAGTTCGAGGGCATTCATGATGTAATAGCTCGAGGACGGGTGTAATAGATCAAGACAGGTGTTAGAAAACAAGGACGATGTAAGTACCTACACAATTATATCGAGGACGGGTGTATCACTGTAATAGCTCGAAGCTTGTTAGAGATTGATGCGGCGTTGAAGGAGGACGCAGATGACTGATATTAGGCATGCGGCGCCGAACAACGTGCGATTTCAATTTAACCCCCTCGCATGTGTGCGGCGTTTGCCAGCTTCTAATGTGTAGGGGGGGGGGGGTCGGTTGGACCCCCCCCCTTGCCGTTTGGCCCCTGATTGAGCTAGAGCTTCGCGGAAAAAACGAGCGTGTTGCCCGTGACGAGAGGAAGCCGATGATACCCAATTTTAAGGTCCTAGGTCATTGGTTGACCTTCCAGGTCAGGTCAATGACCCAAAGTCGGGAAAATCGGGACCTATTAGAAAGTCGTAAAGTGTAGCGGCTAAGGGGTTTTTCGGGGTGCTGATCACGAATATCGTGTTAGTTTTGATCACAGATGATGTCTTTAAGCATTTAGACCAGGTCGGGTCAGGTCAGGTCAGGTCAACCAGTAGGGGTTGTGACGGGTATTCGTAGTACGTGTCAACCGCCTCTGACAGCTTCGTAACATGTTACGAAGGCACCAAAACTACTTCGTAAATGTTCAAATGGTTGCTAAATTCGAATTCAGCTCCAAAAACTAGCCTAGAAACATGTAAAACTCGAAAAAGTGAACCGAGGTCACCCGAGGTCACCAAAGGTCAATGACCTGACCTGACCTTCAGGTGACCTTGACACCCATTCTAATGCATGGGAGCAACATCAAATCACATGTTTGAACGTTTGAAACCACGAAAAGCTTGCAAACGCGCGGCTAATGCGAGCCGACATACGCGGAATCGCGATTCCGGCCAAACATGGTCTCGGAAAAGAGGTCACAGGTCAAAGGTCATTTGGGTCAGGGTCATGAAATTTTCAGGGTAGGTGTAAAATTGATCAATAAGAGGGTACTGAAAGTTTCGTCGCGATCGGCCGCTTTTTACGCGAGTTATTTGCGAAAAACCATGGGGGGGGTCCATCCGACCCCCCCCCCTACACATGCGAGGGTTAACCTATGTGCAGTGTCGCCTTTTCTTCGAAACTCAAACGAACTGACAAAAATGGTGAAAACGGTCCCGCCTAAAAATATGGTGACATTTTAGCTACCCAAACGACTTCGTCCGCCTATGGGATAACGTAATTGAAATTTTTACCTAAATATATAACTTATACGGTGTACCTACCTAAATATGTAAAATAGGCAGCGTTTTTCTTTAGGTACCTAAATTACAGCGAAATGTGTCAATGTGTCAATGTTATTACAGATGACATTGAGGTGTAATTTAATTGGAAACAGATGCGTATGGCATTTACAGTCATAAGTCAGATGCAGGCATCACAAATGTCATCCCTTTCGTGAAGCGGTTATAACCTCGTGGCTAACAGCGTATTGAATAATCGCCTTTTGTGGCACCTAACTCTCTAAACAGAAAAAGTGGGAGCATTTAAATGCTTCAATTGTAACGAAACTGCTGACCCTACCGTGAATCGCTTCATTAAAACTTGGACTCATTGTCTGAGGAAGATCCCATCTCGCAAGTTTAGATTGCCATGTCAGGACGGGGGACTGGACCGACGCTGTCCAGTGTCCAGCCTGTCCTGCCGATCGGCAGCAGGCAGACAGACGACGCTGCCCGGCGGACAGTGCCACAATGGGCGCCCATTAATCATTGCTGCGGCTGGCCGTGTGTAGTGGCCCAGGCGTGCCAGACGGTGGCATGGTTCCAGCATCGACCCTCCCTGATCGACGATCGTTAGGAGCATATGCAGTTCTGGAAGCGTAGGTATGTGTCTGGTAATAGTAAACAGCTACGTGTATGCTTCCACTTCTAACATCAACGAAAGCACCTTCTTCATTTAAACGGGTAAGCTGTTGCATCATATGAAGTGTCCATACCTACAAATGTTTACGTTTTGTGCTTTCTAAATGTTTCGTTTCAGCTCCTTCATATAACTGACAGGGGTCGGCAAATGGTGGGGCATGCCCCCTATGGGGGTAATGGAACCCTTTCGGTAGGGGTAATAAGGGATTCTGAGAAAGCCTATCTTTTTAGAGTTAGTGGCTCCATTTGATGGAACCATCGTGACTGTTGCATCCCAGGGTTCAAAGATTAGCCCAGGCCAAAGGCACAGCACACATTGATTAAATACCAACATTCACGTAGCTGCTCCCCTCACCTGCATCTCACCGCCTCCGTACAGTCGTACAAAAGCAGCTGCAATTTTTAATCGTCGCCCGTCTGTTGGCGTTTCCACAGCCGCTAACGTAAGGGGGAGGAGTCGATCGGACCCTCGCGGCCTCTCGGATTCTGAGATGGAGCTGTGCATAAAAAAGACGAGCGTGCTATCCGTGACCGTGACTATAGGAAGCTGCTGCTGTCCATATTTAAGGTCCTGCCGAAATTTTTGCCTAAAGACTACGTGCCAATTGCGTTTACGCTCCGCATGTGAAGCGGTCTTTAGACAAAAATTCCGGCAGGCGGCTATTTTTTCTGTCGGTGAAACTGGCCTCAGATCATGATATTTCCGGGCAGGTAAAAAAAAAAAAATGAATGGCTCGAGAGTACAATTTGCCATTTGGTCGTGATCCAACGCCGTTTACGTGAGCTTTTAACGAAAAACCACCCACCACCCTTATATGTACGAGGGATGGGAAATATTAAATGTTTTGTGGAGGAAGTGTCATGTTTTAAATTTGATGCATCGGAAATGAAGAAATTCCCAAAGAGTTCCAGAACGGTATGGAATTTCAGTAACCTTGGTTGTGTCAGCAATGGGGTCTGGTAGGTGGGGGTAATAGCTCTGCCTGGCGCCCAAAAAGGGGGCACGACCCCGAATGACCTGCCGACCACTGATATAACAGAACTGGGCAACATAAGTCCGCACTTTGGTAAAAGAAGTTTCAATTTCCTTTTATTTAACTTGGATATCTGCCAGTTACCGCTAATTATAACACATTTACGATTCGACAGAAAAAAACGAACAAACCTGATTGACGGGACTTGAAAGACTTGGTTGTAAAAATAGGAGTACGATTTTATTACACTGCAGATTGTAGCGTCATCTCTATTGATAACGTAGTTCGCACAAGTGTGCGCTGTGACATTTCTCCCTTCAGCCACAGCGTCAACCATCACCCCAATGGTAATGCCGGACAGCACCTCTCTGGGGCGACAGGTAGCCAGGTTGTGTCAGCGTCTGCAGTCACTGGCGGCGGTCCGCGGCGGGGTCGGGTCGGGTCACCAGTACCGCCACCCGCGCCGTCACCACGTCCCCGTACTTCGGACTGCGCAGCACAATGTCGGCCCCGTGCCAGCCGACCTCCAGCGCTGAGGTGCTGAGACACAGCGGCACTGACTTGGTGCCGGCGGTACCTGGAGGACCACGGGTGACTTAGTAGGGGGACGTCACTTTCAGCGCTGAATAAGCGCCTAAGCGGTGAGCCTGTTGTTTTCGCCATGCTTTACAGAATGTCCCTAATAACACGATAACGACGTGCTTATCAGCAGGGATCCAATACCCTATTAAAACAATTAAGCACTGAACGACTAACTAGATAGCCTTTTACGATACGAAGTGAAAGGGCATCACTTCTGAACAGTACCTTCCATTTGAATGGACTTTGGTGATATGAGAAGCTCCTTCTTTCGTGACAGGACTTGATAAGCGACATAGCCGGGAGGAGGCTCGGGAAGGTCTGGTGTCGGCACTCTCTTGTTGCAAGATATGGTGACGGTCTTGACGGCTGCCGAGTATTTCGCAGTCTGGAATTGTTGCATCATTTCGGTAGACACTTGCGTGCCTGAAATATAGTAAAATGATGCTTCAGTAAGTAATAGCTCTCATTCCGGACATATATGAAGGATATACAGGCTTAACACATCTCTGCTCGTCGTTCGGTCCGTGGTTTTACCGTTAAGCTGTCTCCTCTCCCGTTCAATCTCGCTCTCCCAGGCGGGCGCGCACTGCTCGAGAAAGTCTCGCAGTTTGGTGCTCAGGTCGACCAGCAGGTGGCAGTGTACGCAGAGCACCTCATCGGCAGCCATCACCCAGGCTGCAGAGATACCATCCGGCGGCGGACCCGCGGTCTGCAGCGCATCATCCAGGTCCGACTGGGGCCCGTCGCGGCAGCCCACCTGCCGGCGAAAGGACTTCAGTCGTTCCAAATAACAGGCCAAGAGCGATCCCAGAAGAACAGGCCTGTTTGCTTCACGATCAAACACGATTAAAAACAGCAGAGATATCGAAGCCTAGGCCCGCATAGTCAGCAACATGACCGCCACACTCGCCTGTATCAGTGCTCCGGAGAGGTTGACCTGCCGGCGGACCAGCGGCGTGGCTCCCGCTGACGGTTCGGCGCACACTCCGCCCCATCGCGTCTGCTTCAGGCTCGTCAGCCAGCCGTGAGCCGGCTTCACAGTCGCGAACGGCTCCGGGTCGGCCGGTGCCGAGCGAAAACACACCGTGAAGTCGCCCAGCTTCGCGTTCGAGAAGAGCGCGTAGTAGTCACGTGCGCGCGCCACCCACGGCATGTGTTCCACGTCGACGCGGGACTTCCCTCGCGCGCGCAGCGTAACCGTCTGTGGCAGCACCATGGCCGGGAAGGCGTCGACGCCGCTGCGCAGCCAGGTGTCCAGGTCGCGCTCGCCCTGCGGCTTGTCCGTCAGCCGCACCTCGAAGTCGCCGGACTCGCGCAGAGGATTGGGCATCTCGACACGCACGTTGCGGCAGCTGTATAGCGGCGAGACGACCTCGACGATGGCCGGAGCGGCGGCGCCTAGCGGGCCACCGGCCAGCGGGTACACCAGCGGACGGGGCCGCGGCGTCTGGCACGACTTCGGGCACAGCAGCAGCGTGGCTGCCGGCATCAAAAGACATGCTAAAATGCTACACTGAGATCGTAAACAGCATGGTGAGTGACAATATGCTTATTACTCTTTGCCCTTTGGCTTTTAAGCATCCCAATTGAAAGGGCTGTGAATGCATAACGTGCAGTGGAAATAAAAAGGCGATGCAAGTTCTTACCTGCGTACTGTTTGAAAGGGCTGTGAATGCATAACGTGCAGTGGAAATAAAAAGGCGATGCAAGTTCTTACCTGCGTACTGTTTGATGCGATGGACGCTGCACTGGACGGTGACGTCCAGCGTCCGTCGCGGACCGATGATGATCTCCGTGCCGCCACCCTGTACCTGAAACACGCCCTTCTCGGCGCCGAGCAGTTTCACCTCGTACGTCACTGGTCGGCTGCTCGTGTTGCGCATGGTAAGTTGCCGCGTCTGGCTGGAGCCCAGCTCGGGTCGGAACTGGATCGCCTCACGCGGCCAGTACAGCGGTAGCTTCTCGTACAGCACTGTGACCAGAATCAGAAGCGCCACAGGGTTGGCGTCCATGATGGAGGTCGGGTCGAGCCGGGTGTCCAGGTTCAGCAGAGCGCAGCTCTCCGCCACGATCACGCAGTTGTGGAAGGCCTGCTCGGGTGTGGTGGGATGTGCGTACACCTCCTGGCGCAGGTGGTCGCGCAAGAAAGGACAGTGCGAGGCGAACAGCGAGCACAGCACCACGCCGTCCTCCAGATCGGTGTCAAAGTTGGTGATACAGCGGTCCTCGGTTCCGTCGGCGTCCCAGAGGCGGCGCAGCTGGCTGTTGTACGACCACGTCATCCAGGCGAGCAGCAGCCGCTCCGGCACGCTGTAGATGTTGCTCTCCAGCGGGTCGATGGCGCGGGGCATGTAGCGGGCGTCGCTGTCGGCCATCTCCGGCCAGAAGCCGACAGAAGACAGCTTCACCACCGTCTGCAGAATGAAGCGGCGGAACGTCTGCAGCAGGATGTCCAGCCAGGCGGCCTTGGCCATGTCGCGGAACTGGCCTTCGTCACGGAAGGCGCCGTAGATCGGCACGATGTTTGGGTCGAGGAGGTGGCGAGCCACGTCCTGCAGCGACGCCACGGTCGACGTGTCCTCTAATGACGATTGCTTGGATGGGAGGTTCCCCGCCGAGATGCCGGCCTCGATCGAAGATCCGTTGAAGGCCATGTCAAGCTTGGAGCCCACGCTTTCTTGGATTTCCTCCACCACTTGGAGAAGGATAAGGAAATCCTCGTATCGCAGCATGAATTCGGGTCGTACGTGTGCCAGCAAGGCGCCCTCCTTTTTCAGGAAGTCCAAAACCGCTCTGTTTCTCTTGATGTAAAATAAGATCGTGCTAGCTCCATCGGCCGAATCGGCATTGTCCTCGATGTTATAGTTGGGAATCTTCTTATTACTGAGATATGCGACTGACTCGCCGAAAGTCTGCCACATTTGAGCCTGAGCTTTCTCCTCTTTAGAAAAGCGGCTCGAGTTCTCTTCGTGACCCATGCACTCGGGCAAGTGAAGGAACAGGTTGTATGGGAACGGTCCACTTGGGAATCCGAAGTTGATGAACCACGCTTCAATGGCATCATACGTGGCCTGGAAGAAGGTCTGCACGGGTCCTGCCGCCGGAAACCTGGGGAACTCTGTGGTGGAGCCGCTCGGCAGCTGCACGTCCATCGGCAGCTGGTCCATCTCCAGCTGGTCGGAGGAGACGGACGAGCCGGAGCGGACCGCCGCCGCCGCGGCGTGCTCCAGCGAGGCGGCCGAGAGCGCCGGCGGCCCGCCCGTCTGACGGCCCGAGTCGGGCTCGTCGGCCACCTCCAGAGGAGTGCCCTGCAGCGCCAGCCACTCCTGGTAGCCCTCCGGGTGCAGGCTGAGGAACGAGTAGGTGGTGAGCAGGCAGTTATCGGCGGCGCCCAGCAGCAGCACGCTGACGGAGCGGCCGGCGCGGTCCGTTAGCAGCAGGCGCGCCGACACGGAGACGGGTCGCACGGCGCTGAACTGCACCATCAGCGGTACCTGCTGCTGCGCCCGGCCGCCCACCAGACGACCACTCTGAGGGAACCGCCACGTGATGCTCGGCAGGTCCTGTGTGCCGGACGGCTGCAGCTCCACGTAACTGAAACACAGCCGGATAAAAGTTAAACGACTACCAAACACACTTCCTTCCTAGCTAGGTGAAGGGTGAAGTTCCTGGTTGGACGCATGAAACCTCTCTTGCTTCAGGGTTTCTAAGAATTGTAGCATCCCCGCGTTACCAACGACTTTGCAGGCTCATCGATATGTCAAACAACAGCGATAATCATGCACTTAGGATGCGAATTACAAATATACTAACCAATCATCTCGCGCGCGATTCACACACAACGCCAGCCACTGACCTGATGGATACGCTGAGCTCGTCCGGCTGCTGGTAGTCGTGTCCGACAATGGTCAGCTCCGAGTTGACGGTCATGCCCAGTGGCACGGCCCCCAGGTAGATGGAGCGTGGAGACGCCGTCAGGTACGTGGGTCGACACTCGGCCTCAATGTCGACCGTGACGGCCGGCTGGTCGAGAGTGTCCACGTAGACGGGCAGGTGGGCGCGCACCGTGGTCGGGTGCGTTGGGTACAAGTAAGATGTCGTGAAGACGATCGGCACCTTCAGCTCTCCGCCCACCTCCAGGTCACGTTCGATGAGGCCACGCGGCGGTGGGGCTTCCGCGCTGCCCACGCGGAAGCAGGCGCTGGACTTGGCGTTGATCACCACACGCACGGTGCGATTCAGGTTGTTGGCGATGCGAACGCGTTTGGTGACCTTGAAGCAGCGCTCCAGCAGGTCGGCGCCGATAGAGAAGCGGACTGTCTGCGGCGTAAGCAGCACCGGCTGACGCAGAGCCGTGGCGATCACCTTCAGCGAGGGCAGTGCGATGACGGCCTCCGAGCGGTTAGCCGCCTGACCGCCACGCCGCGGTTGCGCCAGCCGATCCGCCTTGGACGCAGTCAGCACCGACGGCCGCCCTGCCATACCCAGCTCCCTGACTTCAGGCGGCGCGTGTAGCAGCGGCGCCAGCACGAAGCCGTGGTTGGCCAGGAAGCGCGGCGCGAACCGGCAGCTGACGGCCACAGTCTGCCCGGCACCGCAGCGCACCAGGTATCTGCCGTCGCCCTCCTGCTGGACTGCCTGGTCACGACCGGCCTCCAGAGGCCCGGCCAGCGAGAACTCGTCGTGATCGCGCAGGTCCACCGACAGCGTGGCCGGGATGCGGCTGCGGTTTTCCAGGTGGAACACCTGGCTGGCGGAACTCCCACAGTGCACGCCGCCAAAGTAGAGAGCACCGCAGTCGGCTGCGAGATCAGGCGCCTCGGTGCGCCCACTAATACCCAGCGTCACCGCCTGGCCATCGCGCACGTGAAGTCGCACTGGACAGTCGAAGCGCGCTAGTGAGACAGGCACCAGGGTAACGTGCAGCGCCACCGATCCGCCGGCCGGCACCACTCCTTCTGACGGGAACACCACGATTCCCGGCATTGGCCTCGGCTCGGCCAGCGAGAAGAACGCGTCCACCAGGCTAGCGTTATAGAGTCGCACCTGGCACCGCTTCACCTGGTAGAGCGGCAGGTTCTCCAGCTGGAGGCGGTCGTCGGTGAGCCGCAGGCGCGGCGTGCCGAGCTCGGAGGTCAGCGCCAGCGTCAGCGTGTCGCCTCCAGTCACGTGGCAGGCGAAGGTGGCCGTGTGCGGCTGTCGCAGACGCACGCTCGGTCGGAAGGTGACCACGCAGCGCTGGCTGTGGTAGGGGTCGATGACGCCGTGCGCCGGCCGCAGACTGAACACGTCGTCCGGGTCGCCACCCTCTTGGCGCCAGCGGTACTCGCCGACGCCGTTCAGCGAGTTACGTAGCACCACGACCATCTGGTAGACGCCCGGGGCTGCGGAGGACAAAGCCAGAGGATCGGGTGACCGGGGATTGGAGGACTGGGACCAATAACCGGACTATGGGATCATAAGGACTGTATAGGATCAGGCATGGGTGGGAGTTAGGACACTCTGGAAGCAAACAAGCCTGTGCCCTGTTTGCTATGATAGGAGCATTGTAATGTGAGATGTATCGAAGGCTCGAGGCGTCGATATTATATATGTAGGTTCATCTGCTAAGGCATTCCGTGACTTCTGCATCCTCGAGGAGTTTTTAATGGTAACGGTCACTCACAGATGGACGTCAGGTTGGCGCACTTGAAGTGCAGCCTGGTGGTGGAGATGTCGAGCCGCATCCTCACCACCGTAGCCACCACCAGCACGCTGTCCAGACATGTGCCGTTGATCGAGTACTTTATCACGCTGCCGGCAAAAGCACACAGGCGGCATGACAACCAAACTCCTCCATAGCTCACAATCCCGCAAACCTATGCCTACACCTACTGACCACACGTTACTGGCTATAGGCATAGAGTTGAAGAGCTAGAGATGAAGTATTGTGGCGATCCACCGCCACCGATCCCGGACGGCCATCCCATACGCGGATCCCGACCTGCCGGCTCACCGTCTGTATTCGCGTTTGGTGCTGCACTGGAAGATGACCGGCAGCCGGACGGCCGAGCGCGGGGGCACCACGGCTGACGTCGGACTCGTGTTCTCCAGCTCGCGACAGTCCACGTGCAGACGGAACAGCACGTGACCGTCCAGCGGATTCCACACGTCCAGGGTGCGGCACGCCCACACGTCCTGCGCCACCTGTTAGTGCGCTTTGGCCGTGAGTGGCGGACCTTGGACCAGGAAAATTGAAGACTAGGACTCTGAAAAGGACTGACTACTGAGCTCATTGAACTTAGCTCTGCCTTGTTCACCAGCATGGTTTGTTCTCGGGTGACCTGTTTTCATTTGCAAGGATACACCACCGTTCGACCACAATATATGGTTATATAAGACCTGTCGGCAATTAGCCTTAGCCCCTGAGGAAGGCTTCACGCTGTCGGGCCTCGGGGATTCTTAACATTCAGACAAGCGGGCAGACAGATAGACGGACAGACGAACAAACGGACAAACGGACTGAACGACCGTCAAACGTTGTACTCACCTCGCCGAATTTCAGCAGCTTGTTTGATATTTTCACTTTTGCGATTTCGACGCAGGTCAGCTCACGTTCGCACGCTTTCTTGATCTCCATTGTTTTGGGCTTATCGTCAAATTTTTCGAGAACCTCCATACCTGCGTGACCGCTGGAAAGACTGTCTTCTTCAACAACATTCAATCCCTGAACTGAAAACAAAGGAAGAGCAATTGTCAGCATAAAAGCGAGAGCGTATATACAAATATTGCATGCTGAGTGCTGACAAAACCAAATGCTGTCGATTGAAGCCGAGAAAAAAACAAGGCTACATTTGATAGATGCGTTATATCAGAAAATTAGACAGTTCTCGAACGGATTAGATAAATGCCGCAGACACTTCTGCAACTTTGTACGATGTAGTTCCAGTAATACGTTAGTACGAGCAAGTCGGGAGACAATCAGACAGGAATCTTCTCACCTGGCGGTCCGTCTCCGCTGGCCTGGAGCCTCAGCAGACGGCGTCTCTCACGGCTACAGACGGTGCTCCACTGACGCAGAAGACGCGCAAACTCGGCGCCCAGAAACTGACTCGCCTGGAGGAATAAAAGACGCACGCAAAATATTCAACAGCATCCACTCACAGATTCACATAGATTAGACGTTGCATCACTTACCGATCCTCGCATATTCGGCAATAAATCACATATCGATTCTGCTCACCGTGAGCTGGAACTAAAAGGTCCGAGGTGAGGTCGGTACAACATAAAACACTCACGGTCCTGTTGAGCAGCTTGTCGTCTTCCTGCCCGTCGTAGAGCGCCCGGTCTAGCTCGGCCTGCTGCAGCCACCTCTCCATGTGACAGCGGTCGATGTACTCCTGGTAGCGGGCCTCGTTCAGCAGGATGTGCCGCCACTCGTCAGCAGTGTACTGGTACGAAGGGTCCAGGTACGTGTACCGCGGCTGGCCCGTGAATATCGACCTGAAAGAGCGCGACAACAATCAAGGAATGGTCACTCTGCGAATGTTTGAAATGACGATAAAATGTGTGGCACTAACGTGTCGTGTCAACGAATGTCGGGAGTGTTTCGGTCGTCGTTACTGTGTCCACTGCCTTATCTGTGGCTCTCTCTCTTTTGGCGTCCTGCCACTCATGTTGTGGAAGGACGCTGAAGGTCAGCAAGGACGATGGCCTTGCTGACCTGACCAAAGGGGAGAAGGATCGTGGAAGGCCCGGATGCCGCCTCCTCTGACCTGACTGGCGATGGGCCGTGGTAGGGCCGGATGCTGCCTGCCCGGTCGTTGGGCAGCGCCACGAAGCAGCGCTCCTGCTGGTTCACGGACGCCCAGCGCACCCAGCGGTGTTTGGTGGTGCGCACTCCGGCCAAAGTGCCGACAGGCGCCGCGGCACACGGCCGCTGCAGCGACTCCGCGTTCAGACCAATCTCGTTGTGACCCCACAGCGGCGTGATGCCTGGCGAACGAGCAAGGGACAGTTCATGAACGCTCCAGAAAGTTAACTTCATGTAAAACATTCTGCCTGACGGAGTACTGTATATATGCTCACAGCACTGACGTCTTCTCCCTTTATCTCGCCATAATTTCTCAGCATTGATTAGACTAAACTTAAAACCTCCCAGGCTGCTGATAACCACTAACTTTCCGGTGCCTGACCTCCCTTTACCAACTAGGCTGACCGGGCACGAAGAGCGGCTTCTTCTGCGGCGTGATGGGAGCGCAGTAGGTGGAGACGCGCAGTCGCGCCGAGACCAGCAGACGAGGCTCAGTGTCGGATGACGGCTCGGTCTCGGCGCTGGCGCTCACCCCCGTGTCGACCCCGAGCAGCTCCAGCTGAATGTACCGCCACAGCGGACCTAGAAGAGGAGAAGAACACGATGGTGACGGCTCAGGGATGCGGACGATGGTTTGAGTGCTGATCTTCTCGTGACCTATGGGACGAACGGACGAAGATCCGGAAAAGGCCTAGAGAGCGAGACTGTCAAGCCAACGCCTTTGATGAGTCAATGTGACAAGTCATACGACATCGGCATTCGGCACATCGGTGTTTTGGCCACTTTTGCACCTTACCTATCTGAGTGGGCTTGCACAAAATGTGCATCGTTCTCGTCTCCTCCGGTTTCAGGACTCCTTTGTTGCAGCTGGCCCGAAAGTGAGCAATGTCGCTAAACCTGCAACGAGGAAGATGGTCGATAAACTATGTCCTCCAATGCTCTCACATCAAAAACTCTTGGCTATTCACGTGTGAAGCAGATATACTTTTACTCTTCCTTGAATAGCCTGACGTTTATACTCACGTGAAGCGGAGCGGGAGCACCTTGGACTGGTTGATGAGCTTGCACGGCATCAGGATGCGTTTGCCGGGACGAGTCTCAGGAAAGTGGGCCTGCTTGGGCTCAAAGTCGAACATGACCGGCAGCGACATGGCCCGCACGCCCAGGTAGACTCTGCCGAATTCTGCCGATAGAAAGATGGTTCTCAGCGGCGACTGGTGGATGACATAAGGAAAAATGACGGGTATTCGTATGTACATCCGTCTACATATATAACATTGAAACAGTGACGAGGTTTAAACGGTCTGGAAACTCAAAGGGACGCTAAATGGTTCCATATTGATGGGAACACAATATTCCGGCATCCACTTCCTTCAACCTTAAATTAGTTATCTAAAAACGTTATGGATGAACCTTTTGAATTTATAACCATATAATTACCTATATTTTGTCACCGTTTATCGGATGTGGCGCAAGTATTGCAAATCCGGAAGACAGCGCTTACCGAGGTTCTGCTGCAGGTCGGCGATAGACGGCTCGATAGTGAGGAAGAGACAGTAGTCGCGTCTCGGCGGAGAACGGTACACACTGGTAAAGCCCTTCTCCGGTGGGTACGCCCGCGGGGTGAAGCTGGGTGGACGGAGAGGTTGACGAATTAGTGACATATTCTCCGCAAATAAAGTGTTGGGCAGGTAGGTCGCAATTATGCAGGCTGAATTGATGGGTACCTTTGAAGAAAAATGTTGCGGAAATCGCATCAGCTCCGCTGTCTGCATGGAAGCGTCAGTAGGTACTCAGTACCGCTCAAAATGCGGAATATAGCTAAAAAGCACGCAGGTCCTCAACCCTCCAAAGCACTAAGTGCTGGAAGATTTCACGTGCATCACCGCCACGGCCACAGAGACCGTCACCGTCTTTCCCACTTGCGGCACCCACGACTCACTCGATGGTGAGCAGCTGCTCGCCCTTGGCTGCGATCTTGCCGAAGGCCGGCTCCACGTGAAAGCAGAGCTCGGGCGGGTCGCAGCGACCTGTGACACGCACGTCCTCTGTGCGGTTGTCGGCCACCGCCGCCAGGTGGCACTGGGTCAGGTCCACTGCCTGCCGGAGTGATTGGGGTCGGAGTAAAAAGGGTCCGTATCTTCTTTTTCTTTTCTTCGTTACGCTTAAGCTCTTTTATGCATTTCATGTGTCGTCCTAACATAGGGAACCTACCAGCTAGCTTCTCTCACGTCTTCTGCGTAAGCTGCGCCTCCTACCTCGCCGTCCCGCCTCCACCCCACCCCTCTCCCTCGGACCACTGGCGCCACTCACCACCTCCTGTCCGGGCTGGTGCGGTGACCAGGTGACCGAGTAACATATGGGCCGCACACCGGCGTTGTGCAGCACCACCCTCCGCTGGTGACGCGTGCCGTAATAGGCGGCACCAAAGTCCACCAGCCGCAGCGGCTGCCGACTAGCCGGCTCCAGCAGGTGCAGGGCGCTGCGCGTCACGTGACCCACGATCCGCACCTCCAGAGGGTCCATCTCCTGACCGACGAATCTGCAGAGTCGCGCAGAAATATTTCAGAAAAAAAAAACAGTATCATCCACAAAGCTGGGTGCTCCTAGAGGGCATTTCGTCAGGTCAATAAACAGTGCGACGACGATGGTCGTTGCCCGTCGTTGGACACCTGCAGAGATCTTCTGATAAAATGTTCATACGAACTGGGACTGTTTTCCATCATATAATCAAGCACCGATCACCATGTTCAGCCACAGCCCACGCCCCACATATTAGCTCGTATTGTGATTCGTTTTCCGTCCCATTATCCGGCCGAGTGCCGGCGATCGGTGACCTCCCGACTGACCTGGCCGTCTCACTGATGTCGCCCTCCGTCTCGGGGATCAGCTCCACGCGAATTGACTGGCGCTGGCCGGGTCCCATCACGCCGTGACTCGGCTCGAACGCCACCCGCGTGGCGCCCGAGTACTCGATGTCCCAGCGGCCCTCGCGCCGGCCGCGGTTCTCGACCGTCAGCCGGCGGGCGATCGGAGTGCCATCTGACGGCAGCTCGCCGAAGCTGATAACGCTCGGTGCGTAAAGCACGGGACGGACCGGAGAGCTGGCGAAAAATGACCGTAATAGTGTCACGGTCACTAGTCATCCAGTGTCATTTCAAGTGAGTGCTTCGAATTACCAGGGGACTTGGGCTTAAAGTTGTCCTAAAGTAAACCATTAATTAATCACATTTATGAATTATAAACGTAACGTTCAGATCCCTAGGTATATCACTTATTATAATTATTATTACACTGTCAATAAACACTATTGAATTAAAACAAAGATAAAAAGTTTCATAGACCTATAGCGCTGTTTCGTTTGACGTTTCAAAAATGGGCTTTAGAGTTTAGAATAACCTGATTAATTTCAGTTACGGTAGGTTAACATCCTCGCTGATATTTTACCCATGGCCTTAGCTTAGCACCGTTTAAATTTCATAATCCTTAGCGCTACTTAAGCTTTTCGTGTGTACCTAAAGGCATCGCGATGAGCAAACACCTGTCATAATTATCTCACCACACAATCGGGATGTTGATGCTGAACTCCTCGCCAATGAGTATTTTGGCGACGTCATTTTTCTGCTCGGAGTCGGTGCACGTGTAGACGAGCGTGGCGGTGCGCTCCAGGCCGGGCCCGAGGTCGGAGATGGTCTTACCGTCACCCCCGATGGTCAGCTGGTAGTGCGGGTAGCACAGGTAGTGGTCCTTCGTCTGTAATGGCCAATGGGGCACCGTTCACGCTGCCGTGAGCCTTTTAAACAGTAACCAAAATTTTTACCTCGCAGCAATAGTTTCTTTTAGGCATTTTAGAAGCTCTGCATCTTCTACGGCCTTGATTACAGCCCATAAGCGGTTAGGTGCCCGCTACTTATCAATTGTTTCCATGACAATGAAATCTGTGGCGATCAACGGTCTCTCTCTCTCTCTCTCTCTCTCTCTCTCTCTCTCTCTCTCTCTCTCTCTCTCTCTCTCTCTCTCTCTCTCTCTCTCTCTCTCTCTCTCTCTCTCTCTCTCTCTCTCTCCTTGTTCTTACCGTGTGTGTGACATTAGGAATTATGACGGTGATGCTGTGGTCACGTAAGTTTTGCACACCGAACTTTCGGCTGTAGGTACCGCCGGGTTCCGTCTCCAGAAACTCGATCGTGTCGGGAAAGGCTCTCACTCCCAGTTCGTAGGCCTCTTCCGACGTCAAAATGGCACATCTCTCGGCTGGTAGGTTCTGATTCGACGCGCCGGCGGTCGCTGGAATCGCTGTTGTTTTCACCATATTTGTTGTGGGTTTTATTTACGCATGTATTTGAGACGGAAACGGTTAGATGTTTCACATCGTTTTATTTTGTTGTTGCCCATGTCAAATGCAAAACTAAATGTTCACAAAAAATAGTTTTATGCATTTTATGTCTACAAGAAGGATGTCTATTTTGTCACAAATATTTCACTTTTGTCGTTCGATGCCTAAAATAATCCGTCCTTAGACCGTCACGCGACCATGAGTGTAAATTACCTCCATTTCACGGTCCGAATGCGGCCCTTATGAAGGGCGGCTAGGACGATAAACTGAGATTTCGCCCAAATCCATGCGGAGCTCGAGGGAAGATATTTTTGTACTTAACTGTACTGTCGAATAAGTGTACTTACCTAAAGTGCGTTATGAAGTAACACTGTCGCACTGCTTGATGCACGATATGGTGACACTGACAATATTGCCGATAAACGACCAGTTTTGTGCACCTAATTGCACTGCTGCGCTGCTCCAACCGTTCCGCAAAAGGTCACAGTAAAATGCGTGCCATAGGTAGGTACCGTATTCATTCCTAAGCCTGAAGCGTGCCTACATTTCAACCCTATGTGCACACAATTTTACAAAACATACAAAGGTATTTGGTACAAATGGGATCACCATGGGATTCGAAGTTCGAACCATGGGTTGCGCATGCGGTAGACACATACGGCAATTACTTATATTGCTTTAAGGGAATAAATAATTCACTTTCCCGAAATTAGTTTTGTCAATGGATTTATGTTTTATATGCTCAAAATGATCAGCAAAGAAAATAAAACCTTTTTTTATAAAAATATCATTTTCCTTATTTTGATATAGGAAGAACTATAGGTATTCTATAAAAAATATAAATATATAAATACAATATTGTTTAACCCGCGAGTTGCTGGGGGGGGGGGGGCGTTAAACGCCCCACTTTTTCGCCGGGCCATAGCATAAAAACGGCGCGCCGCAGGCGCGCCAAATTTTGGGTTCCTGTAGGGAATTGATTGAAGTTTATTGTGACAAAGTTTCAAAAAAAATCGGTCGGAAAATTTATGAGATATCGAGGTTTTAGTGACGTCATGATTTCTCAGTTTTTGACCAAAAAGGGCATATGTTCAAAAAATCATATAAAATCACAGAATAAACATACAGACATGCCGTAAACGCCATTTGACTGCCAATACCATGTACAATCAAATGGCTATCTTCAATTATTGATTATCGTTCCGCATTTTCCAAAATCTTGAACTGAATCTTGGCAATATCTCGTGACTACTTCACGACCATGATACATGCAGTTCTTAAATTGAACTTTTTGAGCCAAACACGTACATATACGATAAAATGAATGTCACCATCGTGTTCTACGCCCCAAATTACCCATTAAACATGTGTCACAGGCTGCGAATATCAGTTTTGATTTTCGGGGACATGTGCCTACCCGGTTGACCTGACCTTGACCCTGACCTATGCTTGACTGACCCCTACATGAAGCTGACACTCTTGTAGGCCTTATATGATGGATTGTGCACCGTTTTGACAGAGTTTATGACGAGAGGCGCCCATTGCGAAGTCCTGAAGTCCATGCTACTGAAAGCCCGATTTCAGGTGTACCTATGACCTGACCTTGACCCGACCTGTGACCTCAAAATTCAACTTTAAAGTGCTCATCTGAAGCGTCTCGTCGCGTTCTTTCGTTTGCCGCCTCGTGCGTTTCGCTGCGCCCATTGGTTCTCGAGTTATCGGCTGGGGGCGTTTAACGCCCCCCCCCCCAGCAAACGGTGGGTGGCGAAATACCCCAGCAACTGCCGGGTTAACACGAAAACTTATTACGCGTTGACCAATCATATTGCATAGTACACACCCATTGGCTGTTAGCAGCATGCTGATTGGCTGCCGATACCATGACAGCATTGCAGCATTCCTCAGCAAGGCACGCATTCCTCTGTAAGGCACTCTTTTCGGAACGAGAAACGGAATAGCTTCGTCTAGGGTGATCGTTAGGCCGTAAAAGCTTCTGATTTGTGCTAGTCTCAGTTCAAGCTACAAGACTGCTATTCCAGCACAACACCCCATGCTAAAAGTGAACCATTTCCTTTAAGTACCAATTCCCCATGTTCCGCTTGTGCTTCCATTAGTCGCCCATGTTAACCCTATTAGTGGCAGGGGGGGGGGTTGTTTTTATCCACCCCTCAGGTTTTTCGGGAATATCTCCGAAACCGCTGAAGCTACGATGCTGAAATTTTCTGACTTTTCCTAAAACTAAATTGGGCACATTCCCTGAAAATTTCAAGTTCATTACTTTACCAGGGGCGGCTCCAGAGCACTGGGAATTGGGGGTCCTATTCGTGAAGCGAGTCATTTGGGCGAAGATCACGATGCTGCACCAGTTTTACGAACAGTGAATGAAAGGTATCATGTGATAACATATACAAAGTTATTGTGCATCCTCTTTTGACACGTTTTTGCTATAATAGGCGGATCCAGGCGTCCAAAAAGGGGGGTTATTTTTTACCTCCCAACATAGGTGCCCTGACACCGCCTATGCATGACCAATACAATTTAAGTCGTTCTCTCATAAGAAAATTGTAACATAACAAGACCATTACCACCCTTTTTAGAAACAGTACCAACAAAAACCTTATTTACTATACTTTTTGTGCACCCCCATTCTCAATGATCTGTATCCGCCTATGATTTTTGAAAAAGCATATTTTTAGGATCCATGTGAATTCCTGGTTCATTCTCTATCGATCGGCAAAAGTTGCGTTAAGATTGGTTCAGAAACCTGGCCGTGATAAACAGTCTAAAATGTATCTGCAATTTGCCCGTTTTTACCCCCCTCTACCCCCCCTATTGACATTTTTTATTTTTTTTTTAGAAATGTAGATCTCGTTGAGCCAAATCGAATGCCGTTTGAATTTTGAAAATCGGCCGGTTAGATCTCGAGATATCAAGGGGGGGTCGTAAACAGCCCCCCCTGCCACTAATATGGGGTAGCCAGGAGCCTGCCACTAATAGGGTTAATATTTGCATGCTCATAAGGCAGGGCCTCCTCTAACATACCCACTGGGTGGGCAAATGCCCACCAAGTCACCACAATTGCCCACCCAGTGGCGTCGATTTGCCCACCCAGATTACATAATCCCTGTTATAATGATCGATTACTGAACAAAATCTGCAACACTTATCAGTGAGGTTCATAACTTAGGAACTCGCTGCTGCATCTATAAGCCCAGGTAGCATCCCTCTTACGGCACTGGGTTTTAATCGGTATTTGTAAAAAGTAATTGTCTCGTAAGTTAATAGGCATGTACAATGTAGGTACATGCAATCTGGAGCGAATAGACGTCACGAGAATCGCCAACCATAAAACACACGAAAAACGTTAACTTTGCAGACTATTATCTTGCTTCCAATATTGGCACAGCTTTTTCGCCTTCCCCCCCCCCCCGTGACAGGTTTTGAAATTGGTTGAACCCCAAAACAAGTGGCTGGATCCGCCCTTGGGCAGGGGAGCAGCTAAAATGTTGCCCACCCAGTGACAAAATTCTTAGAGGAGGCCCTGTCATAAGGTATGCAAAATACCTTATTAGCAAAGTGCTCGACTTGTTTATTTAATAGTGCAGGGGAAGCAATACTGTAGACCCCACTTCATCGCTCACGCCTTACCCGCACTGTGTCCAGTGTCATGTTTGTAAGGTCTTCTTTCTAATACCACGCACAGCGCTGTCCGGCGGTACAGTCTACCTCGTCAGGCGCTCTGTCGCGCGGTACAGTCTACCCAGTCAGGCGCTATGCTCGGCTGAACCGCGGGCGGTTGTGGCTCTGCGGCGATGCGTCGTGAGTAGGCCAGCCGCCGTGGCCTTGCCTCACCAACCCACGACTACTCACGCGCCGTGAGGTTAGTTCAGCCACCTGCGTGGGGCTGTGGTGACCGCGAGAGGTTAAAACCCACAGAGGGACCGCAACCGGACCCTCTCGTGACGCGATGCACGATCAGCCATTATCAGGAAATTATGATTGTTGCTTTTGGCTCGATCTTCAAGGTTCATTGTTTTTCAGATGTGATGAGGATAATGCTATTCTCCCAAGAAATACGCTTGCACGAAGCGTGGCCAGTTGTTCTTATTAGCTATGCTTTATGCACGTCACTTAACAAATACCTAGACTTGCGAGGGCGGGGCGTTTTGCAACCCCACCCTCTACATAAGGTTTTCGTGTATAACTTTAAAATAGCGACACGTAACGCCGCTAATTTTCGCCAGATCCTATGGTGCATATGTTACAGGCAAAGTGAAAACTCGGGCATTTTGCAAAATGCCTAGGCAATTTGCAAAATGCCTGACCCGCCAGGCATTTTGCAAATTGCCTAGGCAGTTTGCAAACTGCCTGACCCACCAGGTATTTTGCAAACTGCCTAGGCATTTTACAAAATGCCTGACCTGCCAGGCATTTTGCAAAATGCCTGAGTTTCCACATATTCCACCGTTTTTGTTGACTACAGGCGTTGATCATAAACGTTCCACTGTGACTGTGCCCACAACACATTTCACATGTGTTGTGGCCTGTGGGCACATGTGACACATTCCACGGTCACGAATACAGGGTGTCACGAAATTGTTGCGGGATGTTGTACTTGTGTCCCGAAAGGTATTGCATCGTAGTTACGTCAGTGTTCTCCAGCACCTCGCTGACAAGTTATCAGCGGCCACGTGGTCTGTCCCCGCGGCACCTGGTGAAGCTCAAATAGGCCTCTGTAGCCCATCATGCCCCAAACGAGAATCCTCAGTGCCCAGTGGGTGCTTCACCGTCTCGACGGTGCAGCGCCTCTGAGCTGCTGTTGGCCCAGAACTGCTTGTCGGGACGGTTAGTGACTAAGAAGAGCTCAATAGCCGTTTTCACAACGGGCTATCCAGCGAGTGCACCTCATTTTACCAAATCTGCACCTAATCTCTTTTACAACAAAAATCTTTATTTTATGAATTTATTTCAGTGTTTTAACCGATGATGCTCTCTGATAATATGACAAAGGAGGCATATAAGCAATTAGTACAGCCCTAGCTGATAGCTACTAAGAGACACACTGAACCTAATTTGACCAAATCTGCGCCTAATCTGCACCAGATGTGAACCAAATGTGTACCAGATGGCCGTCGTGAAAACGGCTAATATCGGCTCACGGCCTCATCATTAAAAAGTCTGAATCTCTAGTCCTGAATGGTCCAGATTTGGTGGGTTTTGTCGAAATCCAGCTGCATCACTTATGGATGACGATAAGTCAGGGTTGCAGCCTGAGGTTGAGCGGCTTCAGCTTCAGGGTAAAATCTTCAGATACCGGGGGATGGCCGATTTAGATGCCCTGGTGCCGGACCCGTTCAAATTACATCCATTCAGCACTCAGGAGGGGCATGGAGGGACAAGACCGCGTCAACCGCGTATCAAGTTCGTGACACTCTGAATACCTACGTCTTGTGTCAATTCTGTCGAGATGGAGCCAACGCTGAATGGACATGAGCCACCGTCTCCGTACCTTTCGTATAGGTATACGGAGTTGTAGCCGTGTGTATAAAAGCTGCGATGTCCAGTATTCTGCCCTCGTGGGCAACTCGACAGAGTTGCCCACGACAGAGTTGGGCAACAATTTTCAAAAAGCCACCAAGATCTCTTAGAAACAGTACAATCATTGTACCGAGCGCATGTTTACCCACGAAACCACGCCCGGTGCTCGGCACCCGACGGCCGCTGGGGCTCGGTGACCTGAACTCGGCTGCGCTACCCGGAGAACGCAGTGTCCCCTCGCTTGGTGCGCATTGACAGCAATGAACTTTTGTAAGCGGCAGTTACAAATGATGCTTACCTATACATCGTCGCTAGTGCGAGTTTGATGCCAGGCATTTTGCAAAATGCCTGGGAAAATATTTCAGGCAGTTTGCAAAATGCCTGGTGGGTCAGGCAGTTTGCAAACTGCCTGGGCATTTTGCAAAATGCCTGGCCGGTCAGGCATTTTGCAAATTGCCTAGGCATTTTGCAAAATGCCCGAGTTTTCGCTTTGCCTGTAACACATACATTTGTTCCAAATACTTCGTAAAATTTCAGGCCCACTTTATTAAGTTTAATGTCACTTAAGCTTCAGCTAACTGTTAAGTGACCAAATCTCAAGAGAAAGGTGATTGTTTACCCTTACGTCGGCGACAGAACGGTTGCTTTGAAACTGTCAGCGATTGATGAGATTGACAGGATACCTATAGGTAGGTATGGTATGAAATTTGTACCCGTCTTGAATTTCTCCTAGTGAATGAGCTCAGGTTGATAAGTTTTGCGGCTAACTACTAGGGTTGACTATTAAGTAATGGAAGTGCCTCTAGCAATTAAAAGTTTTTGCACGTGCACACATTTTTTTGGTGTCATCACGTGCGCCGATCTTTTTTCTATCGAATAGTGAAGACCAGATGTCTTTAGCTACATTTTACTCTGAGCTATCGACGTTTTTCCAAGAGACCACCCAAACCTGCGGCGCACGACAAAAAAGGAGCCTGGCAATGGCCAAAATCGTGCGCTGGGGCGAGAGACCAGGGCTCAGTGGCCAAGTGTTATGGCTACACGAATAAAATAATGGAAGTTGATATATTTTCATAAAAACAATACATATAAAACAACAAATAACAACACCACTACTCCACATAATCGCCTCCTAGCATCACACACCGTTCCAGCCTCTTGACCCAGTCCTGGAACGCCGCCAGGAGGCCATCTTCGCTGATCTGCGCGAGCACGCGGCACACCGCCCGTCGCACCTGTTGCCCGGCGCACCTGATGCCGTCGCTTCATACACTTTTAAAAGAAATTCCCTGATCTCAGCAGGCCTTTTCCCTACCACAAACTGGGATTTAATGACCTCGCGTTGGCGCGCGATTTTGGCCATTGCCAGGCTCCTTTTTTGTCGTGCGCCGCAGGTTTGGGTGGTCTCTTGGGAAAACGTCGATAGCTCAGAGCAAAATGTAGCTAAAGACACCTGGTCTTCACCATTGGATAGAAAAAACATCGGCGCACGTGATGGCACCAAAATAAGGTGTGCACGTGCAAAAACTTTTAATCGCTAAAGGCACTTCCATTACTTAATAGTCAACCCTAGTAATTGTAACTCAATGGGTAAAAAATTAAGTATGGCATAATTACTTGCTGTTTCTAATATGAATTTCGATAGATAAAAAAAATGCTGGGGCGATAGAAACCTCACAGTGGAATATGTTCTATCGGCGCTCATTTGAACAATATGGATCCACTGATAGGTATATAGCTGATAGGTATATAGGTATATACCTTTTAAAGTCAGGTCATGATCTTGACTAAAAGTCAACTTTCAAGTTTATTCATGAAACTTCATGAAATTTCGTGAAATGTGCACTTATTCGACAAGTACGATAGAAATAACACGAATCTGATTGAATGGAGGTTACTATATTGCTATTTATGATAACTCAAGATTACTTATGATCCAGCGTAGGTAAACTGGCGGGACAATGCATGCAAACGGACACCGGTATAAAAGCGTCCGCCGTTCTCCGAGGCGCCACAGTCGACACTACTCCCGCGGCCTCGGCGAGCGGTGAAAGGATCCTCAGCTCAGGAAGCAGTAGCTCAGACCCTGGCCGATCACTGCACGGTTCGGTTCTCCCATCCCTGCAGCGATGAGGCTGGTAAGGAGCGACACTTGTTTTGTTTTGGTGTAAAGGAGTTTTCAGGCTATGGCACAGCGAGTTTCGTATCAATTTTTATAATGAATTTAATTCCCTTATTTGAAGTCACTGACTTGCAGAGCAATAGCCGTTTAAAAAAGAGCCTGACACTTTTTCCAGACACTCCGATTTCCTGTCAATCTTTTCAGTGGGGGATTATAGGACTTCAATAGGAATCATGACTTATATTGCCGAACCTTATAGAAATAATGTCGTTTTTTCTTTGCCATGACCATGACACTTGAGTTGCTTTGTTTCAGGCTGTCTTCTGCTGCCTTATGGCGCTGATCGTCGCCGACAAGGAAGCAAGAATTAAAAACTACCAGTTTGGCATAGAAGACGACGGATCTTTTGAAGCCGTGTGAGAATAACCTTTGATATTTTGCCTACGTTAATTAAATGTTCCACTGCAAACAAGTTTATCAATTTGACGACATAAGTAGGTTATTTACGTTGACGTTTCACGAGAAGTTAACATATATAGATGAAATTTAAAACCCATGTGTTTTTACATGGTTTCATAACGCCATCAAGTTGTTTCTCTTGAGTTCGTGACCGTTTATCGTCACTCCTGACCACAGTCCCCTATCTCGTGACCATTGTCCGTTGTTATCACTATTGGGCAGGTATGAAACCACGAACGGCATATCGGCTGCGGAGGACGGGGTGTCGTACCCCGGCCTGGAGCCGGAGACGGGCAACTACGTCAAGAGCGGCTCCTTCTCCTACGTATGGGAGGGCGTCACCTACACCGTCACCTGGACGGCCGACGAGAACGGCTTCCACCCGGAGGGCGACCACCTGCCCGACTTCAGTCACACACGCGAGCATATCGGCGACATATCCGACATCGAGAAGTGACTTGAGACCAACTCCGAAATCGATCCCAGCCCGACCGCAGGAAGTTAGCCGAGTCCGACCATGAGAATGGATCCGTAGGCCCGGCCAACTCTAGTGACCCTTTGTGTTTTATGAATTTTATGTCCAATTGTTGAGCTCCGCTCCGTGTGCTATCGTAGTCCTTTGACCACGTTTCGCTCCGTGTCTTATGTCTAGTCCCGTGTTCTGTCTTTCGACTGCGAATATAGGCATAATGTCGTTGGCCTCTTCTTTACGTTAAGTCGAGATCTGTTTCGAAGGTGTAAGGTTAGAGTGCCGTGCCACAAATATCATTTTTTATCATTGTTAGCAGCAACCTCTTGGTAGGACTGCAAGGCTAACTATTTATACAATGAAAACACGCCGTGCCAGAATTTCAAGATAATAGAAAAACGAACATCTGAGTCCAGCATAGAAAAATCGGCTGATCTACAGCATGACCCATTTCGGTCAAGTCATGACCATAATGTCAATATCATACGTCTCGACGAGAGGAACGCGATTCTGGTTAATTTGATGTTTATATTTGTGTCAAAATTAATTGCATAAATATGCTGTTTGACGTATCTTGTTATAGAAATTAAACCATTGACCTTAGGGCAAGTCTGAGAACAACGCATACAGAAATAAATTTAAAGACCCTTCAAGTGCGCCGTTCCACTGTCCTGTAGCCCTTAATACTTTCCCGGGTATGCACCGAGTGGTAAAAAATGTCGAATTATAATTATTATTTTTTTTGCTATAACTACATGTTCTGTACCTACCCCACACGAAATCATTCAAACAATGTGGGAATATTGCACACAATTTGACCTTCGATGACCTCTCGTGACCTTTAACCCGCGCGGGGCTGGGGTCTCCAGCCGAACGCGCGGGGCTGGGGGGGGGGGTAAATTTTAACCCCCCCTGTTATCTCCCGAACTAATGGTCCGATTTGGAAAATTCAAACGCCAATCGAAAGCTCTCATCACTAACTACTAAAAACATGTAATTAATTTAAAGTTTGAGGTCAAGGTCAAGGTCAGGTCAAGGGTACAAATTGCAAGTTTCTACAGTATCGGCCTTGCACCGTAGTTGCCGAAGAATGGAGTCATGGACTGAGACTGATCGCCCAAAACGTGTTCTTAGGCTACCAAGACAATATTCGTTGCATACAATATCATTCAGAGGTCAAGGTCAAGGTCAGGTCAGGTCAGGTCAGGTCACCAAAAAACAAAATATAGAAAAGGGCATGTGCGACACATGTTTTATGGGTCATTTTACTCATAGAATTCAATAGGCACACTCAATAAGTGATATGGACCACCTCTGGATGAATTTCAGGTCGAGGTCAGGTCAAGGTCAGGTCAAGTGAGGTCAAATTTTGAAGTTGGTTGTTAAGGCCTAAAAAGGTGTCTATCTGATGCAGTTTTTCACGGCGAATCGAATGGTGCTATTTTTGTTTTCGTACGAGGTCTAGAACTTCCAAAAAAGTCATTTTTCAAAAATTTTGTGTGTCGTGACGTCATAAAATTTTGAATAACTCCCACATTTTTGAACCGATTCTTCTAAAATTTGGTATGTAGGTGCACATAGACCACTTCTCTGACATATATTCCGGTTTTTTCGATAGACTCAAAATTTTGGATTTTATAATGATTTTCCCAAAAAAACAGTTTTTTGAAAAAAATTTAGGCCAAAATCCAAAATTTTCAAAAAACCGAGATAGCCATTTGATAGACAAAGTAAAATTACGTATAACCCTTTTTTGTTACGTCTTGATTCCTTTAAAAATGAAGATGTTAGTTAGCGGCGTTTGAACTTTTGCCGTTTTTGAGGCGAAAATGGCGAACATGACGTCACTAAAACGTCAATTTCTCCAAAAATTTCCGACGGATTTCGCTAAAATTTTCAGGGAACGTGTCAAATTGATGTAAGAAAAGGTACTGAAAGTTTGGCGGCGCTGCGCGCCGCCGTTTTTGAGATATCGCAAAAATTCGCGAGGGGGGTAAAATTTACCCCCCAGCCCCGCGCGGGTTAACGTTAGACCTGGCATACAAATTAAGAAGATGCACTGCATGATTAATTTTGACGGTCTTTTGAACGCCGTTTTCCGTATGTCGCTTCGTGGAACCAATTTAGACGGAGGGCGGAGAGAGCCGGGAAGGATAGACAGCCCCCAACAGGTTGTGAAAATTCAAGATCCGCACAGCTTGGCGCAGATTCACTATACCTATGACTTTTCAAGTTTCATTCTTTTACATTGCATGATGAATGCCATTTTTTCCGGAAACTTGCATTTCAATTTCATTCTTATGGTGTCAAAAAAGAAACAACAGCCTTTAAAAAAACGTTCAAAAGGGCCATTACAATACTCGACCGCCACCCTTCATCCATTCTATAGGTCATCGAGGTCACATGAGGTCACAATATTCGAAACGGCTACTGAAATGAAATTGCATACGGAGAATCGACTGACAGTGTTTTCTCCTCGATCGGCCCAGTAGCTCCTGTGTTATAGACAGTGGTGGATCCAGGATTTCGTCAAGGACATAGGTACGGTATTGTGGTGCCCCCTGGCATTTGGTGCCCCCCCCCCCTAAAAAACCCACGGATTTCGGCCACTAACTTTTTAGATTAGGTACATACGTGATCTCAAACATTTGTCATATATACCCAGGTCTCTTCGACTGAAAAAACCCTGAGTGATTATGAGGTGCACAACAACCTTGAACGAACGGATTTCGGAATGGTGGCACCGGAGACTGACTTCGGGATGGTGCCCCCACGGAGACTTCGGGATGGTGCCCCCTCTGCCCCCAGACCTCGGGATGGTGTTCCCGGACCCTCGAGATGGTGCTCCCGCGGACCTCGGAATGGAAATAGCCCCACCCGAGGCGAGGGACAGAAATGGGCCTCCGGGAGACCCCGAAAACGGTACCCAGTTTTCCGATGGATCTTCTGGATGGTGCCCTCTTAGGAGAGTTCTGGGTTGAAGCTCCCGTCGGTGACCTCCGTGATAAACTTAAAAAAACCGGTATAGAATGGCTGCAGAGTGCAGTAAGAGAAATTGTCAAGTTGACTCTGACTTTTGAGGTCACTGAGGCCACTTGAAGTCACCATATTCAAATTAGCTGGTGAGGTGTTATACGCGGCGAATCAACTAGGGACATTTTTGTCTCGATCGGTCCAGCAGTTCCTTAGTTATATAATGATTTTCATTGGCGAAAACGCTCAGGTGACTTCTCCGGGTGATCGAGATCACCTTAGGTCACCAGCGAAAAATGGATGGTGAAATCGAGATTACTTAACTATTCGGGTGAAATCGCACACGGGAAGCGACTGGTGGTGTTTTCGTCCCAATCCACAGTGGGGATTTTTCCGATCTAGCACGTATTTATTCGTAGAGGGCAAACCATAGGTAGAATTGTAGCCAGATTGTGCACAGATGTTGGCTGGTGTGTCCTGGTGAGAATTTTACCTGTAAATGTGCATAATCAACATAGTAAAGGGGGTTCAATTGGACCCCCGCTCAGCCGTTTGGCCCCTGATCAAGCTAGAGCTTCGCGGAAAAGTCAAGCGTGCTGCCTATGACGAAATTAGGCCGAATATATCCAATTTCAAAGTCCAAGGTCATAAGCTGACTTTCCAAGTCAGTTTAATGACCCAACTAAAGTTGGGAAATCGAGACCTCTTGAAACTTCGCAAAGTTAGGGTGTTACGGGGTATTTTGGGGTGCTGATCACGAATTTCATGTTAGTTTTGATCACAGACGATGTCTTTATGCATTTAGGCCAGGTCGGGTCAGGTCAGGTTAGATCAATTAGTAGGCGTCCTGCCGGCCATCCATAGAAGTGTCACCTACTACTGATAGCTTCGTAACATGGAACGAAGGCACTAGAACTACTTCGTAAATATTCAAATGGCTGCTAAAATCGAAATCAGCACCAAAAACTACCCTAGAAACAAGTAAAACTCGAAAAAGTGTACCAAGGTCATCAAAAGGTCAATGACCTTGACTTGACCTTCACGTGACCTTGACTCCCACCATTATGCATGGCACCAACATCATTTCACATATTTGAACGTTTAAAACCACAAAAAGACTGGAAACCGCGGATAATGTGAGCTGGCATATGCCGAATCGCGATTCCGGCCAAACATGGTCTCGAGAAATATGCCACAGGTCAAAGGTCAGGTGGGTCAGAGTCATGAAATTTTTAGGTTAGATGTAAAATTGATTATCTCGAGGGTACCGAAAGTTTCGGCGCGATCGGCCGCTTTTTGCGCGAGTAATTTGCGGAAAACCATGGGGTTTTATCCGACCCCTTCCCCTCCCCCTCCCTACAAGTGCGATGGTTAATAAGGTTACGGTATGTATAATTTACGCTTGTCATCCTATTCCTAATGAATGTGTCTCAGAAAATATGCATCATATAAATCACGAAGTAAAATTATTCGCCTATGTCCGGAACATACCTATATCGTGCTGTTTGCCCTAGCGCTCCTCGGGTGGGGTGTTAAGATACTCTAATGTGAATATTCCGTGTTCAGGCAAGTTTCGGCAGCCAAACTAAGCGTTGTCTTGTGCAGAAGAAAGTGGCGAATTCGATAGGATATATTTCGGAGTGGAAAATTGTGGAGAACATTGTTGATTTCCTACATTTATTTAGAATACCATTCCTTCAATATGGTGTCTGTAAAGGTTTTTTGTAAAGGGCATTTTTGTGACCTTAGTAAGGTTGTGGCATACTTTCTGTTTGCCATTCCATTCCTAATAAAGGTGCCTTTCAGACGATATGCAACTTTAAGACCTCGCAAGATTAAAACCAACAGGACAGGACAATGAAATTGAGCTATACTTTCGGGCCTTGCTGAGCCCATGAGTAATCACGCATGAGTGTGAACTTTGGGCGCATTTTTCCTAGTTTTGCTGTGGACATACAGATAAAACAATGCCATATATGAAAAATTCAGACATTTCTTAGCCCTACTGACACAAAAAATAAACAAAAATCCAAAAAATATTTTTTGAATTAATAGGCGCTAGATCGGAAAAATCCCCACTGTGCAATCGGCCCGGCCGTTCCTGCGTTATAGATGGTGAAAACACTCAGTTGACTCAGATGAACTTCTAAGGTCACCGAGCTTATCTAAGGTCACCATTTCAAAGCAGCTAATAAATTTGCATATGCCACTCGAATGATGGTGTATTTTTTTCATTGATTTTTTTCAATCAACCCAAGGGTTTTGCAAGCTTCAAGTTTAGCAGTTGAATAGTGTTACTTTATTCGTAACCTTGAACAAAAATTCACATTCGTCACGAAATCAAAACAAACGTCGCGTGTGCAACGCGTTTGCACGTGCGGATGGGCATTTTGTCCCGTATTATTCATATAATGGTGTATAAAGAACCTGATTTTCCGTGGCCAGACTGCCCAGTAGTTTACTCCACCCGTGAACTCTCATATTTCTTGGCTTCAAAGGCGGGGTAAATACCTGAACATGGTAAGATTGAGATGAATACCCCGTCCCCCATTGCATTGATTGAACGTGGTAATTTGAATTCATTTGAAATTGAAATCAATTTATCTTGAGTTACTTTGTTGTTGTTCTTAAAGTAATTTCTCACTGCATTCCACAGTCAGTTATTCATCATCATCAAGTCAATTTTCCCATAAAGTCTTCAAGCATTTCTTCATATCATTCTTGAATTCTTCTTTGAGTTAGGTATTCTGACTCATGCTCCAGCTCAAGCTCAGAGTGCTTGTGATGTAATACCTACTCTACCTTTGACTCTTTGTTCTCATAGCCATTTGATATAGAGGCCTGGCGGCTACTCTATGCGTTTTCTGCGTGTGTTTATTGCGAGTTTGCTAGAAAAAGTTATTACTTCTTTAATATTGATATTTATATAAAAGTTAATGAAATGTTTATATTGATTAAAAGTTTATATGAAAAACATATAACAAAAACGTAATGAACGATATCCCGCAAATCACGCGAAATCACAAAAAACGCACACAGAAAACGCATAGGGTAGCCAGGCCTTAACATATTGTAACCAAGCACAGTCTTTTTAATGTTAACGTGCTACATGTCTTACTGGTTTGGAATCACAGTTGGGGAAACTGTGGAAAATTCTTCTATTTTTGGAAGATTCTTCCATAAACAGGTTGAGCTTATGTTGGGGACAACCGATTTGTGCCAAAACGATGCAAATGTGACTGTCGTCCCTGGTCGCATTCAATTCAGCATAGTGAAGTGGCCAGGTGCAAGCGTGGGTGTCTAGATTCTAGCATGGATGTATTTTACATCTTTTTTCAAAGTAAGGCTTCAGAGAAAACAAAATTTAATGAAGAATTAAGATTTTATCAGACTTATAGAACATTTTGCTGGATGAGCATTAGGAACAAAAACTACCTACATGGTCTTAAAAGTATTTTAGTGATGGGCCTGGGTGGTTGGAGAACTATTTCTTTTTTATGTTACACATTTAGAAAAGGCTTTACTTACATCAAGACATGGATATCACAGGCTGGCCACTGGGAAACTGAGGTTAAGTCTTCCATTTTTAGAAGTTCAATTTTTTAAATGCATACCCATTCATGGAAGAATCTTCCGAAAATGGAACATAATTCTAAAAATGGAAGATTTGACCAGTTTCCCTGATGATCATAGCCTTCAGTTCAGACCAGTCTGTCATTTTGTTTTTTGTTTTCCCAAAAATGGTCTGAACTAAGAGTGATAACTTTATCACCATCTTATTTTCATCTCCAGGAATGTCCATTGCTTAGAAAGGTCACATTATTGTAAACACTTCACCTCAGGTCAAGATCAGGTCAAAGCTGGTGAGATCAGGAAGTTGGTTGATTGATGTCATATTGCATATAAATCAATTTAATGGTAGGGGCTCTAAATTCCATATTAATATGCTCGACATGGAGTTGGGTGATGGGTCATTTCCTGCACTGGATAAGCAAATTCTGTGATTTCTCAATTGGGTCACAATTGGGATTTGAGAGGTTTTGTGAATTGTGAGTGACCTGACTCCAGTAAACTCCTATGAAGAATAAGATTTTAAGGGCTCAGAGAGCTGGCCATTTTTTGGGAGTTCTATCTCCCTCATCCCTGTGAAATGCTCCCTTGTTATAGAAGTTGTAAAGCTGCAACATAATTCAGACCTTGCATAGGTTTACTTATGATGTCATAAGATCCATGACCTTGAAATGCAGTCAATGCCAGTTGGTGCCAAAAGATTCAGCTTGAATCAAGTTTACTGTTTTAGGTTTGCCAAATTTTATTTTTATCTGAGCTGAATTAAGTATTTCAAACCTCCTACCCTGTACCCTCATCAGTCACATCCAGGCAGCTGCAGACAAATATCACATTTCTGTTCATAGGCGTAGGAACGTTTTCGAAAGTGGGGGGGCCAGGGTCCCAGAGGTCCAAAACCTGACCTACCCCCAAAATCCGATTTCTCCTCGGATTTCGGCCACTTTGTTTTCGCAAACATGCTCAGAGGTAAAAAAAAATCGAGACAAAAAAAAGAAAAAAATTGGTTGAAATTTCAGGGAGTCTCCCGTCCATAAACTCAAACTGATGGACGCGTTCCCCTGTCCTCCGCAGCCGTTGGCACCCATGCAAATTCCAGAGGCATCCAGCAACTTTTTCATTACGAGCAAGCGTGAAACGTGCAAAGCGAGTCTTTTCAATATACCTATAAAAATCAGCATGAACGGCCCAGCTAGGCTCAGCCAGGCCTATAACGTTTTTAAGAGGTTTTATATCAGCGACCACTGCAACTGGGCTGATTGACTATCACTTATCAGAGGCCGGTGTGGGACTTTTAGACGGTTTGGGCCTTCAGAGGCCAGTTTAACCGACCCCCACCGGACACGATTTGGTAGCCGAGGTCTGTGACGTCAGCCGGGCGTGAAGTTTTCCCTTCACCATAGGCTTCACACACAAACCGGCCGAAGTTCATGCCAGGATAGCCCGGCTTGAAAGTGCAAAAATGATTAAATTTTGCCCTCAATAGATTTATTGCTTCATTTTATAACTAAAAACGTCCGTTATTAGGACTCAATGAAGGTAAAAAGTACTCAAAATCGAAGTTCAAGAAGATGCTGTCCGAGCACAATCTGGTAACATCACGTGACCTCTTTTAAGCAAAATGTATATAATTTAAGGATGATATTACACGATTGCTGCCTAAAACATCATAAATAATACGCTTGTAACATTTATTGCTTCTGTTTAAGTCATAACATTGCAAAACGCAAAGTTTATCATGGAAGTCACGTGACCAAAGGTATAGCAGGGGTTGGGACAAGCACTCAAAGGATTTCAAGTTTTTTAATTAAATTATATAAGTTTCATGATGAAATTGATAGAATGTATTTTTTCCGAATGAAATACAAATTTTCGTATGTAAAATATTTTTCTTATGGGCGAAATTCTCCATATAAGAAATGTCAGTGACGTCACCAGGGCTTTACGTGGGCTTTACTCAAAACATCGGACCTACCTGTTTCTTATAGTTATCTTGAGTTTAACCCTCCACGGCCCGGTCCTATAGGTTTTCTACTGTATTCACCAGATACACACCCACCTTTTTCGCAAAAAAAAAACTTCTTATATCCATCTCATTTCTAAATTCTACCTGACTCAAACCAGATCCAAGGCCCTATATACCAGGTAGGGTCGTCCGGCGATTCTACCTGATCGTGACGTCAGCTCGTGACGTCATCTGGGGGCAAGTCTTGAAGTCCCGTTTAAGTCCTATGCAAATGGGCGATTTTTGAAGCGCTGTAGAAAAAACTCTGCTAAAGCTAGCACAAAACTAAGTGCATCATCGGAAAGCCTAGACATTTTTCTTCGAATTATCTACGAAGCGTTTTTCACTAAACCCATTAGTTTTTCTGAGGGGTGTTCACGGGCACCGCACACTGCTGCGTGCGGTGTGTGCGGTACGTCCAGCAGGCGTGGGGGTAGGGGATGGGTAGGCGGTTCTGACGTCACGGCTGCGTGCGGTGGACGGTCCGCTGTGGCCAGTCCCGACCGGCCACAGCGATCGCTGTGTGCGGTGACGGAAGGCTGACATAGGGATGAAGTGGGCGGAGCTCCGAGGCTGTGTGCGGTCCGACCGCACACAGGGCCCGTGAACAGCCCTCCGAAAATGCGTAAAAAAGCCCCCATGCCTCCGCAGCCCCCCTTCCGCCGGCCGCCTCGCCGCCGCGGTAGTGTAGTGGTTAGGATGCTTGCGCCGTAATCCAAAGATCGTGCGTTCGAATCTACGTATCTACGTAACTTGAACGTAACGGATATGGCGGCCGCAAACGTAAATCAAGGTCCCGAATTCCCTATTCCTCAACACAGGCGGCGGCCGGTTCTTGGTCTGCGCAATATGGCCGCCACCGTTAGACACTACGGCCAATAGGGTTGAAGCGGCATTGCTCCCCTGTGCCAGATCCACAAAACGAAACCGGTTGGCGCAATAAACATATCAGATATGTCTCTTCTGCGCTGAATTTGAAAATTTACGCGCTAAAGCGCTAAACTGCTGCATGTTTTAGACGGTGTTAATTCTACCTGCAAAGCACAGATTATCCGTGACAGAAACGGCACCGTGGCCCATCTTTTTGTGTTTAGTTGGTTGAATCGTGTTTAAAGTAAAGAGCGAATCTCAGACATTGGAGTGCTCTCAAAAGTGGGGGGCCACACACATTACTGGCCCCCCCCACTCCAAAATGGTGGGGTGGCCGTGGCCCCCCTGGCCCCCCCGGTTCCTACGCCTATGTTTCTGTTAACAAACTACAAAAAGCATGCCTGGATTCATTGTACTGGATCACTACACAACCAGTATAACGCCTTATGGGGCGACTAACGGAGCGAGCGAGAGGGTGGGCCTTGCACGTGCGAAATTTCGAGGGGGTACCTCCAACTGACTTGTGCACGGCACCCTACTAACCGGTCTCTAGCGATGTGCCAAATTTGAGCACAATCGGCCCAGCCGTTCTCGAGATCTGGAAGCGGCACCCTGCACGTGCGCACGTGCAAAATGGGTCCCAACTGACTTGTGCACGGCACCCTACTAACTGGTCCCTAACCGTGTACCAAATTTGAGCGCCATCGGTCCAGCCGTTCTCGAGATCTGGAATCGACCCCTGCACGTGCGCACGTGCAGCAGCACCCCAACCTTAACACATGCAGATGAATTATCTGATGGAGACCTAACTGTGTACCGAGTTTCAATTCAATCGGCCCAGCCGTTGTGCCGTTATTGAGGTTGCAATTTTGGGGGTTCTTAAAAAATGTCCAACTTTACCACGCGCCACGTGCGGTAATTGGCAAGAACGCATGGTGGCCATCACACCACATAACTTTTACGTCCAAGTGACATTCAGTAAAGAAGACCGCTTGTCAATCGGATGTCCCGTTCCTAAGATATTAGCTTTTGAATAGCGTCCCCACGGCCGGCCGGCCGGCCGCTCATACTCAGAAATTTCCGTTAATCTAAGGAAAGACTCCGCTCGCTTCGCTCGCTCCGTAAAAATTATGCTCAGTAATCCCTACATTATCGGTAGTTCATATAGGTCTTTGACTTGTGACAAAAAGAATAAGTGGGATTTTTTATCTGTACTTTCTTGGGAATGTTGGGATCCATGAGTTCAGACATCCTTAGGAATGTCTGGATGTGATGGAATCCCAAATTTATTTGTCCTGCATTGCACAATCCTGCAATGTCTGCATGGAACAATCTCTGGCATATTGCATGCGAGACTCTTTTGGCTTGTGTCCATGACACTGGTTCACTTTGACTCCATCTTTGTGACCAAGGACACCAGGAAGGTATAAATGAGTTCATTTGTAATGTCAACATCGATCATATCTGTCCAAGGATGTCGCTGGTTTTTGGTAACCTGACAAGAGCAGTATTTAATGAGGCTTCCACAGGCAGCTGAGGAAGTGTTTGGTATCTCATTCTGCTGTTATCTCTCGCTGTTTTCAGGATGGATCTGGCGGCTCCGGCAGCCCTGGCGCTGCCCAGTCGGGAAGCGGAGTGGAGTCGGCAGGGGACCAGGAGGACGACCCGTCCTCCTCCTCTTTCCTCACCGTTTTGAGCGAGACATCAGAGTCGCAGAACCAGCAGGTACTGGACTTCTCCTAATTATAGACAAAGCCCAAAAAGTGGGCATTTGTTGGCATGACATTTTCAATTCACATAAGCATAACTATGATATTGTCTCATCATAGTCGATGTCATGCTTGTCAGTGGTGAAAAAGTCTGCAGTCATCGTGAGACATTTGCTGGTATGCAGAGGAACATGATTAGGAATCCAGATGTCTCCATCTGCTTTTTTGCTAAGAATTTTGTAACAATGTAGATAAATCTTCGCTCGGCGCACACTTGTTTTATTAAAACGACGCTATGGGCGCAAAATGACCTAAGTAGTCGGCGCGCCCTAAAGCCTCAATTAACAAACAACAAACAATCGGCGCGCCAAGCCTGGTTCATTATCACTGCTTTTCACGTTGATGAGTTGGTTTTTAGATAACTTGTGTGACACTGCGCCTCTGCCGCCGTCAGCCGGCCCTGGAGGATGACCTGGAGCAGTTCCGGCTGCGATGGAAGCAGGAGGTCTCTCAGCAGCGACAGCAGCAGCAGCAGACTGCCCCGACCTCGGCTGGATCCCGTACAGCCGCCGCAGACACCGGCTCGGCCACCAAACTGGATCAGGTAGGTACTGGATAGATTATGGTAAAAGATAACCGACTGAGGGATATGTACATTTATCCGTTGTGCTCCACCTGAGGCCCGAATTATACCTATACACATTACACGTGAAGGTGTCTTTTTATGAGATTACTGACAGACTGTTTGATCATGGTTACCAGTAATGGCGTGGCGGCTCCGGGTACTGCAGTGTATACCGTGAACCTCCCGGCACCGCTGTAGGGACCGCGGTGACAGCCGCAGTGTTGTGTCTCACGGCGATCTCACGGCGGGACGTCTCGGCCGGCAGGCGGTCGAGCTGTACATGGACGGCATGCGACTGGAGCAGCGCGGCCTGCTGTACGAGGCCATCCAAAAGTACCGGCGCGCCGAGCAAACTAACGCCGCTGTGGAGGAGGAGGTGCGCCGCGTGCTGCTGGCCAGGCACCAGGCTCAGCAGCAACAGCAACAGCAGTCTCAACAACAGAAACAACAGCAGCAACACACGGACGGTTAGTGAATGCTAAACATTCCTGCAGCTCGATCGATACTATCATTTACTGGACACTGGCTTTGAGCACTTGCTGGCTGATTTATGACGTTCTTCCCATGAATGGCCATGAACTCAGGCCTCTAGTTCGAGAGTTCTTTGTAAAATTAAAGGTTGTACGGTCCCTGGGGCCGTATTCACGTCGATCATTTTCGTAAGAGTTTTCTGACGTTTGACCTACTTCTTAAGTATTTTTTTTTTTATTCACGTGAACAGCGTCGACAAAAACTTAAGAAGTGTCGACGTGAATAACAAATTATACTTACGAAAGAAAATCGACTTACGAAGTCGACGTGAATACGGTCCCAGGTTCTTACCTACTTTGTGCTGTATTCGACATTAATATCCTGTAGGCTCTTTTGAGGAACGTCTCGCAAATGGGTGTGCTGCAAATTGTGATAACTAGTGCAGGAAATCCATGCTCTCTTGGCCCAGCACGGCAGTAACCATTGGATTCCTGAAGCTGCAGTGTCTTCCCTGGTCGCTAGATGGCAATACTATGCCTATTTAGTCTGGCGTAGCTTGGCAGCGTAACAAAGCAATATCTTACTTTGTCGCCGTCATCCGATTCCTTCATGAACTTGTGTTAGATAGGCTGCTATAGACCGATTCGACCCATCCTGTCGTCCCCCTTAGTACCCTATATCACCATGTGTCCTCACCCCGCTCTCCCTGTTCTGGCAGCTCCGCCCGCGGGGGACGGTGGGGAGGACTCTGACGAGGAACAGGAGGACTCGCCAGAGGACGTGCTGCGGCGACTGCAGCAGCTGAGCCTTCAGGACGCCCGCTGCTGCCAGCCCAACGTCCCACAGACGGTGAGGGTTTATGAAAACACAGGGGGATCTTTGGATATTTGGCAGATGTGGAATGATCCTTGGGAGCACGGTATAGATGCAGAGGCGACACGGTGGGGTTAAGAACATCGTGGGAGGGTCGGTGAGCACACAGTGATGAAGATTGAGACGACACGACAGAGTCAGTGAGGGCACGAAAGGTCTGTGAGGGAGATAAAGGCGCGATAACAGTAATTTCAAAGTCGCTAGTTGTGGGTACAAAACAGAGTGCACGGAGAGATGCGGTAAAAGATGCTGGTGAGTAGATAGTAGATACTCCAGTAGGCTGGTGGCTACCGTCGTTTGGTGGGATCCGCTAGTCCCGAAGTGTTCTCTTCGCATCCAACGACCAACAAACACTCCCCGCCGTGACTATACTGACGTCCCCGCGCTGTGCCATGCAGCCGCCGCACATCTCCTGTCGTGACTATACTGACTTCCCCGCTCTGCCCCCGTCAGGCGCGGCACATCTCCTGCCTGCCCGGCGAGGTGATGCAGCTGATCACCTGTTGGGTGGTGTCCTCTGACCTGGACGTCCGCTCCCTGGACATGCTGGCGCTGGTGTGTCGTGGCTTCTACCGGCTCGCAAGGGATAACGCCGTCTGGAAACGCATCTGCCGACGGTGAGGCGGCGCCACTTGTCTTCTGTGAATGTTGGGGGGGGGGGGGCGCTGCCTAGGTCAAATTTGAGACGTGTCGCATAATGGCCAGCTGGCCGGCTCTACGGGACAGATATGGGGTACCGTCACTGATCCGCAATATGCATCAAATCTGAGAGGGCGCTCCGATTATGCCAGGGCGAAGAACTGGTGGACTGGTCCGAAAACATACGCGGTGGTGCACGCGATGGGTGTTGTCAGGGACGAGCCGAGCAGCTGCTGTTTTTTCTCTTTGGTTTGTGTTGTCTCTAGCTGACCGTTTCTAGCTGTGTCCGTGGATGGACTCAAGCACTGACTGTGTCTCCCCCTGACGGCCTCGCCCGTTCCTCTGTTCCAGGGCTCTCGGCCCGGGGGCTGCTGAATCATCCGGTCCGTCGCCCGTATGGCGCGAGCTGTACCTGTCACGACCCCACCTCCACTTCAACGGCTGCTACATCAGCCGCGCCTCGTACATCCGCGGCGGCGAGCTGAGCGGCTACCAGGACCACACGTACCGGCCCTGGCACATGGTGCACTACCATCGGCTGCTGCGCTTCTTCGCCGACGGCCAGCTACTGATGCTGACCTCTGCTGACGAGCCGGCGGCGTGTGTGGGCCAGCTGCAGCTGCAGCGGCCCGGCACCGCCGTGCCGGGGCACTATCGGCTCAAGGTGAGTTAACTGAGGGATCGCCGTACCGGGACACTACCGGCTGAAGGTGAGTGACCAACACGGCATGTTGGGACCGCTTTAGTGGTGCAGTGCCACTTTGGTAGTTAGTTACGAGCTGATAACTACCGTTTGGAGATCGGTATCAGTGTTAGTACTCTGTGACTGACTTTTCTCACCGGACGATGCACTGCAGTTCTTCGTGACTGGCGTTGAGAATGGTCCCGCCGGCAGGGTTACCGGATGTTGGCTCATGTGATGGTTGTCTCCCGGGAATAATGACCGGGGACCGTGCTGATTGCTTAGCGTGCCTCCTCCGTCCGGCAGGGTGGCCGTCCTGAATGCCCTCCTGTCTCACAGGGAGAATGACCGTTGCTAAGTGACCATTCCCCTCTCACAGGGTGACCGAATGGTGGCCGTTCTGAGCGTCCCCCGAGAGGCCAGCCGACGGATGAAGTCGGGCCGGGTGCGCCTCAGGCGACGGGAGATGGTCCAGTACGACCCCGGACAACAGATGCTGCACATCGTGAGTTCGGGGACAATGGATGATGAATCGGTCGGTATATTGTACAACCCGTGACTAACTAAGGTCATAGTTGTGGTGCAAGGTCACGTGCTCCAACACGAGGAAGGGTCGCCTGTTATACAACTCATGATGCATCGTGGGTGGAAGTTTACTCGCTGCACTTAACCCGCGCCGGGCCGGGGGGGGGGGTGTTTGAACACACACCCCCCCTGCGGTTTTTCGCAGATAGCGCCGCCGTTTTTGGCACACCTGTTTGTGCATCTTTTCCGCACATCTTGTGAAAATTTCAGACCCAGATCGCCTTAAGTCACCAGGTCACGCCAAGTGACCTCACCTCAGAAAAAATAAGAATGCTCGTCATAGCTACACCGATTGATCGATTGCCTTGAAACTTTCAGTGATTGATTAGAGCAACAGCATCTATAAAATGTTTATCTCGGAATTTTGATATCGGTGACCTAAGGTCAGGTCAATTTTGCGGCCTCTCCATTATAAGTCAATGGGAGAAAATTGAAAAGCGTCTGTTTTGCACGGACGCCATTCTAGACACTCTCAAACATCGAGATGTAGGTAACATTGACACACTGAACCGGAAAATGGCAACTGTGACCCCTCGTTATGTCCCCGAGGTCATCTCAGGTCACGAACAGAATCTAACAGTTTTTCGCTAATAACTTCTGATAAAGGCGTGCTAGAGCGCTGAAAACGCCTTAGATGTGTTCGGCTCGACGTTGCGGATCGACTGATATGCAACATGACCTTTTCCGGTCAGGTCATGACCTTGACCCAGGGGGGTTCGCTCCCGTGCCTTCAGCATTACGAAAAATGGAAACAACCCGTGAGCAGCATCAGCTGCTCACGTATATGTTCAAGGAAAACAACATGTAATGGACTGCTGACGACGGCCCTCTCCACCAATCAGCGCTCGGCATCTCGAGCGCTGATTGGCTAGTAGCAAACGCGTCATATGTGGGTCTCATTTTTTTGCGATCAGTGAACGCGTTATTTAATACACAGTGGCCTATGGAGAATGGCACGCGGAACTGAAGGTCAGTGTTATATTGCTTCGTACATGCGAATGGGGGTATTTGAGTGGCATTTGACACCATTTTCGAAATCTACAGTGAATTTCTGATCGACTCATGTATATATTTTTATGAATTTGATAGTATTAGTGCTACATAGTTGGTGTTTTATGTTGGTGTTGTTTCTCTCGACCTTTGTCTTGGACTTTTATCATATCTTTTCTCGAAAATGCTTGCCATAACCAAGTCTAAACTGTATCTGTATAAGAGATAATTTGTGTTGAATATGAGGAGAAAGTAGTTATGACCATTCTGCCCATCAAACTGCCAGAAGGTGTTCTTGTAAGGTGATTGAAACTTCAGTACGGGTTGCAGATGTGGGTTTGACATTAGCATTGTTGTTGTAACCCCACTTGCTCTAATAAAATGGAAACATGGGGTTATGTACCCACTATTGCACAGCCTGGTATCAAGCTGGTTGATATGTGGAGGATAATGAAAGCATAAAACTTTTCTTAAGTGAATAGGAGCGTTGCGTCTTGTGACTTTGTCAAGTCATTTGAAATCAAATGATTGTGATTGTAACTTTTACTTCAATTAATTATTATTGCTAGTTTTGACCTTTTTAATCATCAAGTTTTATGTGTACCAATTTCATATGATTGTGTTATGTCTGTGCGGCTTTGTGCAGTGTGCGTGTCTTGAAACAAACCAATTTATTTTGTACCTTTTTGTACTTCAAGAAATGTATGTCAAAAGACAAAAATGTCATGTCTATTATCATTGACACTACTACAGCTAACTTTGCCTATATTCCTTTCTTTCAGAGGCATTCAATTCAATCTGCTTTCCAGTGCAGTACCTAGGAGGCTGCAACTGAAACTCGCACAAAGGCAATCAAGTGTCACTTCATCAGCCTACAGTAACAGCCCATTTGTAATCAAGATATGGATGAAGTGACATAGAAGAACAACCAATTCAAACAAGAAAAGATTGTATTTTGTTTTGGATTATTTTTAAGCATAACAGAACACTACACTTGCTGCTTTTCATGTTTGCCCTGTGTGCAGTTTTGAATAATTTAACTATGAAATGCTTTTGCCCACTATTCTCTTTAGATAACCTTCCTTTGTAATGCATTTTGAGCTTACATGCATGATGTAGGCATATTTCCCTTGGCTTCATAAAACTACTTGCAAGCTTTTGTTATGGACATTGGTGCTAATATGATGCTTCAAATGTGTCCAGAGTTGGTGAAGGGAGAAGAGAAGTAGGACAGCTGATAGCTATTACCAAAAATATGTGCTTGCGTGCACTTCGGGCTGTTCCATCATATGCAACCTCTTTTTACCTCCTTGAGTTAAAAACACCTCATCTTTTGTTTCTTTCCTGTGTGCCCATTGTTTCCGTGGTGCCATAAATGTCAAGTTTGATGTTGGTATCTAAGTGAGCAGAATGTGCATTATTTCAGTCCGTCTTTAATCATTTGTCTTGAATTATATCCCTAACTGGCATCCTGTTATTTGTCCTGCAATGTATGTGCCTGTGTCCGCCCTTACCTCCGGCTCTAGCCTCAAACCAGCCCTGCTGAGCTCTGTCGCCGGCGCGGTGTGTCGCAACGTGCTGTTTCTCCACTCCAGCCGACAGCTGCAAGAATCGTCCTGTGCCATGCGACACAGCAATTGTAAGCTTCAGGTCACATTCGGACTGATTGGCTCCGCGTATGTGCATCCGGCCGGGTGCTAGTCGATATCAGGGACGTGGGTCGGACTGTTGTGGCGGCGTGCATTGTGGTGGTTGAAGTTGTTGTATTTCTGTCAGTGAAAAGCATTAATACATAACCGTGGCCGCAGCCCAATGTTATTGTGAATTTCAGAGGGAGTGGCCAGTCAGGAGGGCCCCATGTGGGTATGGATCCAGTGTCCAGTGGGATTGGCTAAGATTTCCGGCGATTGATAAACGCTTCTATGAAAGTAAACCTATTGAGTTATGAGGGGAGGTCACGTGACGGACCTGACCTTACTAAACTCTTGTGAAAACACGACACATACGAACGATAAGAAACCGACAGCTCTTCTTTCTGCCAAGTGTCATCTTTGTATGAAGGATTTCTTGGCACTGAGTGTTCAGAAATTGCATTGTTTTTGGACTGTGCAGAGGCTCACGAGCGACAACATAGGTCAACAACCTGACGTACATTAAATATGCGACCTGTACCAGAAGATCCAGCTTGATCAAAAGATTGGACGAGTCAAATTTCAGCTCTTTAGCTTAAAAGAATTTTGAGCTATCTTAAAAACCGTCAGTGTGGCACCATATCGCCTCCCCGCGCGGTCGGAAGGTAAAAGTTCGCCGGCTCTAACTAAACAAATAGGCGTCGCATCGCAAATTCATTGACGGCGTTCGAAGCGTCGTTCAATTTACTTTCGAAACATATCCTAACATTAACATTTAACTGCCTAGCGCAATCTCCAACAAGCAAAAGTTCCGTGCACTCATCCTCATACAGTGTTAGCGGCCGCCGGCCGCCGGCCGCTGACCCACATTCGCGTCATCAGGGAATGCTGCAACTAATTTATTGTTTCCAACTTTTTTCCCGGAGCGTTCTACCTGGTTTATATAGCCTTGCCTTGACCTGAGGTCAAATTTTCAAGTTGACCTTTCAAGGTCAACTTATAGTTCATTCGACGCGTCTCGACGAGAGGAACACGATGCTGGCCAAAGTAATGTCATGGCTCTTTTGAGTCAAAAGTTATCGCCGAAAAAACGTTTTTCGTAAAAACGGCTATTTTTGGAGTTTTTGCCCTCTGGAGGCTAAACCGTTGACCTGAGGTCAAATCTGAGAACATTATTCAGAAAGGCCTGTAAAAGGGCTATCGAATGCGCTTTTCCGCGGCGCTGTAGCTCTATCGGTTCCCGAGATAGCCGTTGGCAGTTTCCAAATTGTTGAAATAGTCAACATTTTACCTTTGGTGACCTCTGGTGACCTGACCTTTGACCTGACCCAAAAATGACCGAAGTGTTTTCGTCCTTATTTTGGACGTTCTTTCGATTGCCGCTTACCGCGTGTCGCTACGTGGCCCAGGAGCCAAGTTAGAAGGGGGGGGGGTGTTCAGACACACACACACACACACACACACACCCCGGCCCGGCGTGGAATATCAGAGCACCGGCCCGGCGCGGGTTGAGTTTTGATATTAATTGCTTTTAATTGCGGAGCTTGACATCCGCTAATCTTTTATGTGAAATCCTTCAAGAAATCAGAAGTTAATTGCATTAGTGAATTTTATCATGATGAAGGCTGCATTTAAGTGAGTTCTGTGTTATGCGCTGCTGGCGTTTTGTTCGGACTGGCTGTTCTTTCCGGACACTGGAGCTAATTACGCAAAGTCAGCTGCTATCGCTGTACCGTGCCATGCAGTGAGGGTGGTTCCGGGTAAGATTACTTAGTAAGTAGTTTAGGCATCGTTCCCAGTGCTCGTTACTGCCTGGTACCGGCGACCGGTACTGACGGGACGGAACGGACGGGAATAGCATGGGGTCAGAGGGATACGGTCGATGTTTGAACGGCAAATCGATAACGCTGGCAGGGGCCGAGAGTGCGACTACACCGGGCCACTTCTGCCTACCGGAGCTGACAGTTGCATCCAGCTCGACCCAGTGTGTCCAAAATCGTAATGTTGCGGGGAAATCCACCCATAATGTGCATAATGAAAAGCATAATGACATCCTAAAAATATAAATAAAAACATCCACACGGCAGTCACGACTTATAATAACAACCTCGAACTCAAACGTCTAGGAGCAAGAGAAACACAAACCTCGCAAACTCTGACAACACGCCAAGACAACCATTCGAATAACCAAAATGATAAAATACATGACCCGACTTAAAAACCTTATCTAACATCCCGAATATCAGAATGCCCTCAAAGTTTAGTTTCTACATCATTTTCTCGTGACATGCATAAAAACAGTGCTTAAAAAGGGTCGAAGTCAAATCTTATGAAAATAACGACATCCTTTCCGGCCTTTTTTTTCTACATCCTCCCCCTAACGTAAAATGAATTTAGCCACACTGGCTCGACCTAGGTCACCAACCACGCCATATCCCGATCGGAGCTGATAGTGGGACTCAAACGGACCCCTACTGCCTATCGGAGCTGACAGCTGGCCCAGCTCGACCCTGGTCACCTTGCCCTGTCCTGGTCGGAGCTGATATGGTGGGGCTCAAAACGGACCTCTACTGTCTATCGGAGCTGACAGATTACTCAGCTCAATTGCGGGTTTCTACCACCGGCCAGACAAATCTAGTATAACTGTTCTATTTGATTACCCCTATAACTGGTCTTTTCTGTTCTGTAGGGTGATTTACATCATCTACCAACCTTCCCATCGCCTCTGGCAATGTCCCAAAATGACATTTGTGCTCGGGTGTCATAGAAGAAACTGCTGACCAAAAATTGGATGAGAGTGAAAAAGTATTGGCCAGGTAAGGCCCAAAAAAGAGTGGAAGGGATAAAAAGCATGATTTTATCTACAATTGTGACAGGTAGAACTCAAAACAACCGTCAAAGCAATTGCTCTTTCTCAGTGGATTTGGCAGTGGAAAATTGGGCTTGAAAACTGGAGTTGAGAGTAGAAAATGATCTTCATTTGGATGTCGTTTCCCACCCAAATCGACACATTCTGGGACACTGACCTCTGGGCTCTGGTCCGCGTAGTTAGGAAACCTTGTCCTCCACTGGGATTTCCTCTTTTCGCCTCCCCTTTTGCCAACATCTCAGACTCTCCTCTCATTCAGGATTTCGTGCGGGAGAATTGTTTCTTCAGCATTACATCGACGTGTTGATATTTCCCGACGACGGTCTCGTTCGACTGGGATCCCTAATTGTGGAAAGGTCTCGACCTGACGTCTTCCCGAACCCATCCGGCTTGGATAGCTTACAACGAAGTGAAATAGTATTCCTCGAAAGCCTCTCATTTTGGCCCATCAAACACAGCTACATCCAGCTTTCAAGCAACAAGTATTGGGTAAGTCAAGATTTTGTTGAGGGCTTGTGGGTTGAAAAAAAAAAAATGTCATAGCTAATACAAATGACCGTGCCAAGAATACATAACTTTTGATCTTAGCCATGTTTGAAAGAGCTGGAAACCAAACTACTTGATTTCCAGCTTAGGGCACATTTATAGCTCTCAGTATTGAACATGGCTGTTCCAGCTGCCTGGTTTCGTATCTCGATTCCCAAATATTCGAATGGTTGCGATGGAGCTGGATGTGAATGAATTTCTGCGCGGGTATGCTTCCTGGTAACAGCAAGGACAGCTGATACCGCATACTTTTTTTAGACACGGCTCGGCCCGTGTCGGTATGCAGGCTATGCGCCGAAACTGGTCTCAGGGGGCAGAGTTCAGCTCGCCCCCACCTCTGGGGAGCAGCTCTGCAAGTTTCAGGTTCACTGCCGTTAAGCTATTTCGCCGCCGGCTGTATTACCCGCGAGGTTATTTTCCATCGACGATAGTGTTACCGACATACCTGCTCGCCAGCGCTGCTAGAGTTATAGGTGTACGTGCCTACTGTTGGACATCGCGCTCAGTTCCAGGAACTCTTCATGAGGTTCTTTTAGCGTACTAAATATGAACACCGGTTGGAACTGGATGGACGGCGCAGCGTCGCTCTTGATACTGCTGAAAGCTGCATGACTGGCGTGATGTGAATTGTGATGGACGGGGCGCCGCGCTGTTTGGCTGTCGGCCCCTTGCCCTGACCTGACGTGACCTGACCTGACCCGATATTATCTAATTTGATGCGACATGACTTGACGACCGCAACCTGATGTGACCTGACCTAACCTGACATGATCTGACGGAACTGGGTATGACCTGACGTGACGTGACATGACGTGGCCGAATGCGCCATGCCGTGACGCCGTCCGGGTTTTATGCGTGTGTGTGTTTGTGGCGGCGTGGCCGCAGTCCGGTCTGTTTGCTATCCGCCCGGACGGAGCGGCTGTGGCCCCCACCGGTGACCCACATCGACCGGTGATGGCCCCCAGCCCCGGTGGGGACCCCCTCCCTCCCAGTGACACGACACTACCCTCGGCAGACGCCCCAGCACTCTGCACGCACCACCAGTACGCCCATATACAATCAGATGGATATTGATATTACACGGGTGCGCCGGGGGATTCGATAGCATAGGTCATGGTACGCTTCGGTTATCTGACTTGACAGAGTTCAGCTATGCCCCGGTGAGGGGCGGGCGCTCCCCGGCTCGGTCCGTCCCCGGGGGGCCGCCGAGCTCCCCTGCTGCGATAAATGTTCCGCCGGGTCGCTGACCATGTGGTCTACATCTCCCAGGAGCTGGACGTGCAGCCGTTCCGGCTGGTCTGGCACTCGTACAAGGTCGTCACCGTCTACAGCAACGGCACTGAGTCGACGCACGCCATCGCGCTCAACGACCAGTACCCGGCGATGGTGTTCTCTCGGGTCCGCAGCTACACGACTACCAGCGAGGCGCCGCTGCGCTGAGCGACGTTCGGGCGAGGTCAGAGCCGGTAGCTGGTTGTGATGACCGGGGCTCCCTCAGCAGAGAGCTGCAGAGGCGTGCCGCTCACTGCCCAGTGTACACCCGCGTACCTGTCGAGAGTGTGACTGTGGTACGTTGCAAGATGGCGTCTTACGAGCCTTATAGACGCCCCAGCCGGCTGTCATTTGAGAGACCACCCGTTTTATGGGCTGGTGGGCGCGGTAGCTTGCGCGATCGGTTAAGCCGTCATGGTCGGCTTGCTTTGGATTGTTTTCTGTGTGATTTTTACTTAACCCCTCTCGTCGGCAAACCCAACGACTGACGTGCCGCGGATCACCTTTTGTGACGTTTCCGCCCGTACGCAGATTATTGATTGTTAACTTGAACCGAAGCCAGGATATAGTTTCAGGTGCGACGGGACCGCTGTCTCGTTTTGACCACATTTGATGGAAGATACTGTATATTTTAAGATGCCCGGCAGTTGTCAGCGGACAGGGGCGGCTGGGTGCTTATGTGGTGACTTGGCGTGAGCGTTAGTTGGGCAATAGGGGTCCAAGAGAGATATATTTTGTGGTTTAATTAGGCCCGTGCCTGCGTGATCCAGTGATCCTTGTCCTGATGGACACTAACTTTCATCACTAACGTCGGACGAATAAGGAGTGTTGTACTAAGCGCGGCTGATGATGCTTGTGGTCGCCTGTAGAAGAAATACACAGGCTGCCGGATCGTTGTGTGTACTGAATCAGTCATTAATAGCTAGGTTACCGCAAGATTACTTTACGGGACACGGGTTACCGGGTCTCGTCGTATATCGAGTAACCTGTTAGGAGCCCGCAGTATTTTGGTGGGTCACCAGCATCTCACTGTATGCTGGCGATTTACCAGGAGCCCTGCACTTGACGGGTGGGCCTGGCTTACGTATCACGTCCCGGTTGGGAAGTAAACGCTGTTTTTCACGGACAGACAGTTCCTATTGCGTGCTGTTGGACAGTCGTAACGGACAGAGTCACAGCGATCTCATCGAATACCAATGCATGGATTATCGAGCTGTCGGCGTGGGGCCACCACCCACGGCCGGTAATCGGCGCCGCGGGCTGGCCCGGCCGCTGGGGGCGGCCTTGCTGGGGGCGGGCGGTCGGGGGGCCGGGTCGGACCAACACCAAGGTGTCGTCTCCGTATCGGAGCGCAGAGCAGGGTCGCGGGTATCGCTCGTCAGCAGACGCGCCGCCGCGCCGGCTCCAATAGACGCCAGACGCGGCGGCCGCTAATAAAATGACAAACCGACGGGCGTCTCGGCCCGCAGACCTTCCGCCAACGTCTGACGGCAAAAACTGTTCTGTAACCTACTGTTTATACACGGCACTTGACACAGTTTGGTGTCTGATGTGTCCTGGAATCTGATGAAGAACATAGCAATTCAGTTTTTGCAATGCTATTTTCAGATGAAAGAGTAGTAAGAAAGAATGCAAGGCTTGTGTTTGGAATTGCGATTATGGGGAGGTTAGTTTTAGAGTGGCCCAGTTGCAGATGTTATTGTTATCCCATCGTTGGAATCGGTTTGTTTGTGTATTTTGGATTTTCAGAACTGTGAAATTGCCGTGCTTGTTTGCACGCTTTTCCGGATCATGTCATAACTACGTAGTGAATTGTTTCACGTTATGCTCCTGCCTCCATACAGTCCTATGGCAATGACCGATGGCAATGACCGACCCACCAGCCAACCGCTCTTGTGGGAGCACGTTTTTCAATGTATTCCGCTGCGTTACGGTAGCGAAGAGACAAGTCTTTTCCGCTTCTGGGTGGCGATGGGGGGAGGGGGCGCCCACTCACGCCCCGCGCGGTCATCTCTGCGGTATCAGGGGTGCGTGGACGATGGCCTCGGCAGTGTTTGAGTCTGTTTAACGCACCGGCGGCCAAGCGGCGACCTCTTAGTAGTTTGGTAACTTCTCACCAAATTTGACGAGTAAATATTGCGATAACTTGTGAGCAAACACAAAGGCCGCGGGAGGAGGCATGCCTCCGTTTGAGATCCGATTATTAACGGTACGCCTATAGTCTTTGAACAAATGGCCATCGGTTGATCCCCTTTGGAGGCAGCTCCGGTCCTCATTAGCCTCGCCTGCCCTAGGCCCACAGCGAATATCAGCTGGCTGCTAGAAATGAGAGCGGTTTTTCGTTAACTCATTGAAGATAACTGACTCCCTCCCAATGGAGCGTCGTTTTACATGTTGAGAAGGCCTTCTTGGCGGTAAAATGTTATCCCGCGCCCCAGTGGCGGTCTCAGCCAACTTCGCCTTAGTGGGGGGGGGGGGGCATATGTTACCACCCACCTCTAACTCAAAAACTAAGAGGGCTATAAAGACGCAGTAAAAAGCAATCGATATCTCTCAATGCGTACGCTTGAAAGTATTTAGGTCATTTTTCATCTTAGAGCAATATTGGGGTCACTGGAGGTCATCAAAGGTCAAAATTTGTCAAATGTCATTATATTTTTCCGAAAACATGCATTTATCTCAAAAACTATAATAGCTAGAAAAACGCATGGAAAAGTAATCGAAAGCTCTTGAACTCTTCTTTCGATAAGATCATCATCAAAATTGACCTCAGGTCAACGGTTTAGCCTCCAGAGGGCAAAAACTCCAAAAATAGCTGTTTTTACGAAAAGTGTTATTCGACAATAACTTTTGACTAAAAAAGCCACGACATTTCTATTGCCAGAATCGTGTTCCTCTCGCCGAGACGCCTCGAATGAACTATAATTTGACCTTGAAAGGTCAACTTGAAAATTTGACCTCAGGTCAAGGTCATGACCTGACCGGAAAAGGTCATGTTGCATATCAGTCGATGCGTCTCAACAAGACAAACACAATGAGACCATTCCCAGCGTTTTATCTCTTTCCAATCGAGAGTTGTTGGCAAAAATCTGTTTGTAGCCTTAAATGACCTCGGATGACCTTTCTAGAGGCTATCAGCAAAAACGACACCTTGGTCGTCACGGGTGGTCCAAATCATTGTGATTCTGAAATATTTGGACTGTTCCTATGCGTACACACGGATCTAGAGGCATTTTCATTTTTCTCCATTGACTTATAATGGTAAGGTCACGCCACTGACCTGACCTTAGGTCACGGATATAAAAAATCCGAGATATACAAATTGAAGGCGCCCATAACATCATGCAATCCACCAAGTTTAAAACCTTTCTGACAAACACTGCAGGCTGGACATGATTGCAAACTTTTTTAGGCTTGGTCAGTTAACTTGACCTGGTGACCTGACCTGACATGACCTGGGGTCAAAAATTTCACACATTGTCCAAAATTGATGTGGAAAAGCTACCCCAAGCGGCGCGGCGCTACGCGCCGCGGTTTTTTATTCACACGCGAAAAACGCGACAGGGTGGTAACATATGCCCCCCCCCCCCACTGGGGCGAAGGTTTTAACACCGATGACTTTGAAATGAATGGTGAATGGTCACTTCGATAATCATCTCCAATGCCAATGCCATTGAAGACTAATCGCAAAGTTGATTGATCTGACTGACCCTCGCGTTACAGTGTCCCCGACGGCCGTCACAGTTTGAGCTACGAAAATTGAAGAATTTGGACTTATGTAGGGGAAGCGGGGGTAACACCGCCCCCCTAAGCTTTTCGCCAAAATGAGAGAATATGTGTGAGGTCTCTTGGTAGTTATTGTTTTGGTTACAATATTTAAACATTTTCTCACGTGTTTTAGGTACTTATTTTGCATGCTCCTAAAAGGTTTTCATGTATCACGACTTTTAAAAATACCTTGCATATTTGCTGCCTACAAATTGTGTGGGTAACCCCGCCACCGGTGTTGATGTTAACCCAACCCATTCCTACGAAAGCTTTTAATTGTTCAGAGATCGTGTGCGATGAGTTTCCTGTCGGTAAGTGGTAATTTTCGCAAATAATCGGTAATGGACACCTAAATAGGTATAGGTTCATCAGCTGTTTGCCAGTTTTATACAGCTGGCAAGTGCTTGGTCGGGATGCATGAAAAATATAAAGTAAAAAATCAAATAAGCTGCTTATTCCCGACTTAGGAACATCTACGAACATAAATAAAGCGTGTCTTTGGAGTTTCATCACTTATCACGCTACAAACAGGAAACACCGCAACCTCAATTGGGGTAACACCGCCACGGGGTGGCGGTGTTCCCCAATAAGTGATCACAAGCAAAAATCGCCAGCGGTAAGAATGTACTACACGGTTCAAGCAAACTTATCTTACTGGACAAAGCCGATCAGTTATTTTTCGATGTAATCAAGTAAATCAAAATGAGTCTCTACTTAAAGACATTCAAAAGTGCTCCCAACTAGTCCCAACTCATCGAATTTTTATAAGAGAATGTGCATTTTTCTTTAAATGCCCACATTGAGCTTCGATTACACTGAAACACCGGAACACAAATCAGAAGACGCTTACCTTCGTGCGGTTAATAGGAAATAACGGATTTTTACACTTCACATTTCATACTTTCGCCGCCAGATGGGGTGGCGGTGTTTCCCACAGTGGCGGTGTTACCCCCGCTTCCCCTAACGTAGTATGTATTTCAATCGTCAAATATGCAAATTGATAGTGAACTTGATCAATGCACTGACTCCTACTAAGCATGCAAATATCAAATCTTCACTGAAGAGTCGTTTATTGTGTGTATTTATTCCTTCTTCCTTTTGTCATTATAAAGGTCGTACTACCTACAAGATACCTACCGAAGCGACAAATATTTATCGTTATAAAAAATTACTGTGTGAACTCTCGATTTCACTAAACCGCCTGTAATATAAACTCGAAGGCCGCCGAAGCACACGTCGCGCTATCGGGCGGGCGGGCCGTATTCCAGCGCCGAGTCATGCGGCGCAGCCTAGATGCAGGCGTTTCCACTGCTGCCATCTAGGGAGGACGACCGTAAACATGCGCTACTCCTACGGATGCCTCCACTTCCAGCGCCTAACGGCCGGCTTGCGCTTAGAGCTGTGCAGAAACATTTCGAATTTTGGATCCGCAATAATTGAAAGCTGGAAATGGGAACTTATCAATGGAGATCTTCTGTCAAATGATGACCGTCATTCGTCACATGTTTCAAATATGCCTTTTTATCACTACAACCGGAGGAACAAGCGACACTCTACCGGTGTCCTGGTGCGTGAACAACGTCGTACTGTGGCATTGTATGAATAATAAACACCTTTGATTGTATGTTACCGTCTATATACCTATGTATATTTCATTGAACTTCCCCGACCTGTGAGTCGCTGCGATTCTCATTTCTCACCGCCCCCGACCTGTGAGTCGCTGCGATTCTCATTTCTCACCGTCCCCCGACCTGTGAGTCGCTGCGATTCTCATTTCTCACCGCCCCCGACCTGTGAGTCGCTGCGATTCTCATTTCTCACCGCCCCCGACCTGTGAGTCGCTGCGATTTTTATTTCTCGCCGTCCCCCGACCTGTGAGTCGCTGCGATTCTCATTTCTCACCGCCCCGACCTGTGAGTCGGCTGTGGCGAGGCCCCTCGGCTGTGTCTCCGCAGAGGTCCTCGGTCTGCCCCAAGCGTGGGTCGGTGGCCGACGGAAGTGTGTCAATAAGTGTCGTCGACAGGGGGGGGGGGGCGCTACACGGTGGTCTCGCCAATCAGCGTGTGATGATTGGCAAATACTCTGCGGCGATTGGCTCTATCGATGTGCCCACTTATCTGTCGG